ACAGAAGTCACGGTTCCGTTCATACCTCGGTTTGGGGGTTCGGTACGGGTTCGGTACAACAAGGAAAAGCAAAAAAAAGTCCCAAATGCATTTTTTTTTAACAGTAGTGCAAGTTTTGGTATGAAAATAAGGAACTCTAACATTTGGAATCATTAACTGTATTACACAGTTAAAAACAAACCACAAACAGTAACACACACACACACTCAGATGGCCATACTATTTATAATGGCTGATGTCAAACAAAAAGGTTAAGATAAAATAAGCTGTACAACTAAAAAGAATGTCTTGAAAATATTTAAATAAATAATAAGAAAGTGTTTCAATCACAATCACATTGAAAGCAGGGACAGGCTTCAGTATAGGATCTAAATGTGTTATCCTTATATGACTTATTCTTTACTTTTATTGGAGTTTGTTTGCACTCTTTTACTTTGTCTTCACTGCATATAAACCTAATTTCACACACTTTCATTACGCTGCCATTCACACATGCTTTGCAATCTTTTATCTCCTCACGATGCGTTCTGGTATCTGACCTAATTTCCCCGACGTGGATCATTTAAGTTTCATATTATCTTTCATCTGCGTCTTATCTTAATAGGTCTTGGCGTCCTCTGATTGAAATACCCAGAAAGCCGTTCTCCGTGATGTCGGACGCTGAGCAGCATGTGTGGGAGTGTAATGCAATCTAAAAAAAAAACACCAAATTAGACTCCAGCTGACAGCCATATTCAAACACCTGATGCTGATCAAAGTGTGCAGATGACATAGGATTTATTGAGGGAAATGCATAAGGAGGCAGCAAAGAACAAGATTAAAGAAGATATTCTCTCTCTATATTCATAAAGCACACTTACAGCAACATTTGAAGTTTTTTTATGTATTTTAAGACTCTAGTTTTATATTTTCAGAGATGCTTCAGAGGGGGAAATTGAGGTAAAGTCTCTTTGAAGCTGCCTCACTGTAGGCGGTAACTGTAAATATATTACAATTAAAGAAGGACCTGTTTGTTGTGCAACTGTTTCTAAAACCACTTTATGAAAGCACCTTCCCCCGGCAGCGTCACTTTACTGATACGAGAGGAGAAGCTTTGCAGGGAGGATCTATTTAACATATCTAACGCCCAAACTCCAGCCGGATTTGCAATTCCTGTGAGAGCGAGTTCTGCAGCGTCATGAGTGACACTTCACTGGAGGAGAGGTGGGTAGAAGACTGAGGCTGAAATTAAAGGAGGAAAAACCAAATATTATCTTCTTCACTTTCACCTCCAGGGAATTCAGAGGAATTGAGGAAAGTAAATAAATAGGAGAAGGATTTGCAATCATAAACTGCTGCCCAACAGCCAGTCACTGAGGATTACTGCTGCAGCCATTCATCTGTTGATTCTGATTGTGATTAAAGGAGAATGTCACTAATTGTACACTTCAAGGTCAACTCACTCAAGAAGGAGCTGAATTTATCATTCATTAAAAACGTTTTTTTTGTTTTTCGGAAGTCTATTGATGTTTGTAAGCTTCATCACTCGGTTATCTTAGCTTGTGCTTTGAAATGTATTCTTGGCATGGATAGGCACAGCAATGTTTTTCTCTTGGTCAGAAAACTTTGGTTCAGCTTGAAATATCCCAAGAAATATACTGTAGGAGGGATTGAGGAAGCATATGGTTGACCCCTGACTTTCCCTCTGGTTCCTTAGGCTTTTACTTAAATATTTCCATTTAAATTAGTACAGATATCCATTTTGAGTTGATATATAAATAAGGGAATGTAACCAGAGATACCACTCTTTACTTTATTATATATACAACTTATTTTATATTGATATGAACTTTAACTAATTGTTTTTGGTTTTCTCTCCTTTTACCATGTGTGTAAAGAATGATTTGAAATGTGCATGCGTTTTTGGAATAATAATGGATACATTTTTTATTTAGAGCGCTTTTACAGGTGCTCAAAGCGCTTTACAATTACATATTACACATATTAGACGTGTAAATGTCAATACTGTCTATATTACCCAAAGGAGCAAATGCGGGTAGAGTGTCTTGCCCAAGGACACAACGGCCTGACGCAGTGAGGGGTTTCAAACTGGAGTTCACCAACGCCCCTTGATCTGATGATCAACGCTCTAAACACTGCGCCAAAACCACCCCAATGTACTATTTCCAAAAGGTGCTCAGCAATCTTCTGGTCATGGAACTCTATTCTATTGTTTTCTATTTTGTTCTAGGAAGCACGGTAGAGTCGCTTTTGACCTTTTATAAAACAAACTTCTACTATATGGACTGGCCCAAAATGTGGAACTGATACTCATTGCCCCCAGAGAATGGATCCTAAAGAATGAAACCTTATGTTTTGGTGATCACCCTACTTTTGATCTAGTGCCACCATAAATCAAATATCAAGCAAACTAATCTATAGATTGCAATGAAGTTTTGTTCAGGATAAATGCTACTAACTTGCTAGCATTAGTTGCTACTTGTTTAAAAGCTACCAGAGCTAAGTACAACGTCCCAGATCCTCTAGCATTGCTGGAGACTCTCATCTTGTTTTCCTGTCTTGAGCACATGTGTAGTATTAGATATTTGAATTCTCCTGGGAAAATTTGAGGGACTCATAATCTTTCAACTTCTCAAAGCTTTTCTTGCTTTTTGTTTTTGTTGTATGTTTGTATTTATGACACCTGTGGTATTCCACAACAGCATCTCTAACTTACTAAATATTTGAGGAACAGTAGAGGATAGAGAAGGAGATAAGGATGGATGTGAAGTAAAAGAAGCCTTTCTTGTTCCTCCTCCTCTCTCCTCCCGCCCCTCAGAGAGATTCCCATCATCCGACAGCAGTGACTGATCTCCATGTCGACAGAACAGTGAGATCAAGGTGAACAGAGCTCTGCCTGAAAGATGAAAGAGGCCAATCGCTGAAAAACAAACAGAGAGGCGGCAGCCGCTTCTTCTCTCAGCTTCCTGGAACAAATCTCACCCAGGACGAGACGTCAAAAAACTCTAAAATCCTGCGTGATAATGCTCACCCTTGAGCTGACAAACTGAACTGCCTGCATGTCCAAAGTGCTGCGAGGCAAATCCAGCAGCTTCATTACTGCGGCCTCAGTCAGTCATAGCCCAACATCACAGCAGCTCAATGGAGACATTTACAACTCTGAGATCCTGACTGGAGCTGATGATGTTTTTTCTCTCATTGATATTGATACCTACACTTTTAAGATACTTGTACTTTACTTCAGTATTTCCACTTCATGCTACTTTTGACCACTACAATTCAGAGGTAAACAGTTTACTTTTACTCCACTACTTTTATTGAATACATTTAGTTACAGATTTGGATGAATGATGTGAAATATAATCAAGTCTTAAATCAGACTTTAGTTACACCTGGAGTAAATTCACAAGCTACCCTGCAGCAGTGTTGTAGTCAAGTCACCAATTCACGAGTCCAAGTCACTCTCGAGTCCCCACTTTTCGAGTCCGAGTCCAAGTCCGAGTCACAAGTCTTCATTAACCTTCGTGGATATATGTGTTGAAATGTAGCTGCTCCTCTACATTGATTTTATCCTGTCATTTTATACTAATCTGTCCATTGAACTGCTGTGAAGCGAGTTTGGCAATTCTTGTATAAAAGGTGCTATACAAATATAAAGCTTATTACTAACATTAATATTATTATTATTATTATTAAATCAGCACTCGAGTACTCCATCTCTGCCCTGCAGTATACAAAGTCATTCAAACTAGCTGCACCTTTACCAGCTTTGATAACACTTTAATGATCAATCATTATAAAACATATCATATCCCTTTCATGCATAGAGGTCAATACAGTGGACAGCTATTCAAAAGGTGTTTTCTTGTATATGCATTGGTTTTTTTTGCATAGTTGCACCATCAGCCACTACATAGGACCCTATTGCATCATCCCATACACTGCCACTCAGTGGAAAATCAGTGCATGATAAATGTCTCTAAACCAAGATGGACGACAGAAAGCCACATGGACCAAGTCACCCATCTATATCTTGCCAATCCTTTTATGGAAAGCGTCCCCTGCAGGTATAACAATGTTGGTGACATCAAGTAACAACTAAGGAATCATATAATTAATAAATTATCAAAGTATTGATTTTATGTTTGCACGAAATCATGATTAACCACCTGTCCATTACAGTGGACGTCATGCATCACTGGCTATATTTCAACTACAATTCATACTGGTACTGCTTCTGTTGTTCCCAGGGCCGTCCCTCCTTACAGGCAGATCATGCAGACTGTGTGGGGCCTCACCTTGTGGAGGGGGCCACACCTTGCGGAGGGGGGCCTCATCTGAGGCGCACCTATGCGCTTATGTGGCGCAATTAGGGTGGCGCTGCACGGTTTCGCCGCTGCGAGGTTCCACTAGCACTCATCAAATAACTGTGTGTGGGGCCTCAAATTGGCCCCTGGCCCTGGTTATTCTTGAAAATACTTCATCTGCAATATCTTTTTGGGCCGTAAATCAATATACTTATGTTATTATTCAAAATGTACATCTCTTCAGTTCAAACCCTGAACGCATACTGTCCACCTGAGTGGACATGTAAAAATCTCTTTGAAAAAACTAGATTAAAAAAAAAAAAGTTCAAATCTTGTTTTTCACGCCCCAAGAGCAATAATAACACTTGGTAAAAAAATCCTGACTGAGACTTTCATAATTCATGCATGAAAGGGATATATATTATTCTGAAATGGACCAATCCGCACAATGACTACTTTTACTTTTGGTACTTACAGTATATTGGAATTCTCATACTTTTGTACTTTTACTTGAGTAACATTTTGAATGCAGGACTTTTACTTTACGTTTGTGTGCGTACGCACGTGTGTGAAGAGGCCACGAAGGTCCAAGAGACCTGGAACACGGGATGTTCTTTAACCAACAAAACAGTCAAATATTTCTCTAATTTTCTACATGAACTAAAAGTTAATAAGAATATAAGACACAGAGCATGAGATTAAGATACTTGTATTTGAATCAATGCACTACAACATTGCAAGTCAATACATCTTATAGCAGTGAAAGTTGTACAAGATGGGAATAATGTAAAAACAGTTCCAAAAACAATGTATTTTCTTATGTTTCACTACAGCTGACATCCAAAGACGTTGTAATGCTGAACCATCTCCTCCATGCCCAAACAGGTAGGTCTGTGTTCATCAGCTTGACACTCAGCTTCTATGGGCCAGTACTCGATCCAGGTTCTTTCTCCAAGTACATACTGATACCTAAGGAGAGCAGAGTGAAAAACACGTTAGGTCTTCATGTGAACAGCTATCTGTAACATTCAAACATAACATAAGAAAGCCTCCTTCCTCCTTCTGGATACTTTATTACTCTATGAATGGCAACAGTAAGTGAGGACAACACATCTTGACTTTATTTAGTATAAAAAGCAGTGAAACAGAAATATCTTAAATTCCCACACCACACATCAGATTCAAACACACTTACGTTTGATGTGCATCATCACTGTGAATATCATCTGATGATCCCATGATAAGGTACGTTTTGCCAACAACCAAATCTAAAGACTCCCTGCAGTGCAGATAACTGAGGAATGTGCGAAGTTCATTCAGAAGACCCACATCAAACGTTCCTGTAATTTAAAATTAGGAGAACAAAGAAAAGGTTATGATCAAATTGATAGCTAATGATTAATCACAAAACAAAAGTACTTTATTCTCACATATCCTGCTGAATCACGTTTCTGGAAACACACTTTTTTGCTTTCTTGCCAAAAGTTATAAGGGGCCCAATAAGGTTTTTCGGGGTTTTCCCTTTCCTGTAGTGTGTTATATAGGTTTTTTTTGCATGTAAATGGTCTGCAAAGGCACAAATCCCAAAATCCCGAGAGAGAGAGAGTTTCTCACCCACAATCCCCCCCTCTGCTTGACGGCTTTGTTTAATTTCCGCAATATAGTCTTAGTGACATCACTACTGTAGCGTGAATCACACATGGAGATGGCTCTAACCCCTCAGAGCCATGGCTGACATCACAGTGACACTCTAGGGCAGTGGTTCTCAAAGTGGGGGGCGCAGAGGCATGCCAGGGGGGGCGCGAGAGACCAGGAGGAAAAATGGTAATAAAAAAATTAAAAAAAGATTAAAAAAAAAAAAAAAAATTCATAATTTGAAAAATTATTGATTCGAAAATAATATGATGCAGTACAGTACTATTACGTCTGGGTATCTGTGTTTCATTAAAGCTCGGCTCGGCGTGTGTGTGTGTGTGTGTGTGTGTGTGTGTGTGTGTGTGTGTGTGTGTGTGTGTGTGTGTGTGTGTGTGTGTGTGTGTGTGTGTGTGTGTGTGTGTGTGTGTGTGTGTGTGGAACGAGCCATGTTGTGTGCGCGAGCGAGAGAGAGAGCGCACCGGTACCGGATATCGTTGTTGTTAGCTTCTGGTGCTAGCGAGCTACGCTAACGGATATAAGGAGTTTTTTCAACAACAAAGTGGAGGAGAGTCCTCTCCTGTCAGACTGAGAGACTCGGTGAGCTAAATGACTCTCTCAGTGTTATCTCAGTGGGTCTCAAACGTTTTGGTCACCATTAATGTAAACAATTATTTCCGAGGCACACATTTATATGATCATTATAGTTATAAAAAAATAAGAGAATAAATGAAAAACAGGTATGAAATACTATATGACAGTAAAAAAAGAATAAAGTTTAAAAGGGTGATTTGTAAAATATCCATAAAGAAAAAGTAAATCTGTTTACAGTTCTGTTTCAAATGGGTGTTGAGAGATGTATCCATAGATCTCTTCATGTTGCTCTCAAAGTGCACCAGATTGATGCATTTAACTTCAATATTTAAAAATAAATCTTCCCGGGGGAGCTTGCCCCCGGACCCCCCTATGTGAGATCCACACACCACCTATAAAAATAGCACTTGACCCCTGCTTACACCTATATGCCGTGAGCTGATTATCGAGCCTTCATTGTAACAGTTGCGGAAACACTGTGTATATGCGTGTGGGGAGTGTTGCAGTAGAAAATTCCACTGTAGCGACCGGTACATTAATGGGAAACCCTAAATGTTTGAGCACCCTCTATGAAACGTCAAGCTACCCCACAGCACCCCCAAAAGAAATCTCTGGCGCCGCCACTGAGCCTGACTTGTGTTGGGGGGGCCCGACTTTTTTTTTCGCCTGACAGAAAAAGTTTGAGAACCACTGCTCTAGGGGAAGATCAAGGAGAAGATTCCCCAGAGACACAGTACACAAAAACCCATGTCACTTGATGCCCCAATGACTCTTAACAAAGGGTCCCCCCTCCTCCCACAAGGCTGGATACCTTGAACGATGGGAATGCCATCTCTGTCCACAGACGTCAATTAACTTTAACATGAAATCTTTGATTCCATAATACCTTGGTTTGCAGGTATCTACTTATACATCCTGATGTATGAGAATTATATGATGTCATGCTGCCTCAATTGTGATTGTGTTATTTGTTTAAATCAAGTTAATGTGTCAATAAGGTAATTTGCATTTGATTTGTATTATTTTTGTCTTTCTCAACAGCTAAAACAATGGATATTTCAGATATGGTTAGACGTTTAAAACAATTACTATATATTTTGTAAGTTTCATTTTAAGAAATCCCAACCAGAGCTTTATGACCTGGGAGGGATAGGGTAAGCCCCACCTCCTTCTTGAGACATACAAAAGACAGATACAAATTTAGAACATCCTCTTATCCACTTTTCATCCTCCTGATTCCTGACATAAACACAGAGGGGTCGCTGACTCCTTTCCTCCCCCCTTCCTCCAAGATGACCCCCCACTGAGGTTCTTTGTCTCAGTTTAGTTCTGAGTTTAAGACCCCACGGATACGGCTCAATAAACGTGTCCCTTCACACGAGACCGCTCGACCCGCTGGTGACGCTGTAGTACATATGCCGGGCCTGTAAGTGGCGCTATACTTCCGCCACAAAATACACCAAAAGCAGTGAAGAAGACCCCCGAGCATGGTGGCCTGGTTGCCCTTCTGTTTATTCTCCGCGGTGGATTTAGCAACATGTAGTTCATGTAATTCTCCATGTCCACTTGTTGCTGATGGTTGTGGTAGAGGAGCTGTAGATTTTTCACTAACAGCTGTTGCATGGTCAGTAGCTACTGTCAGTAGCAGCTACTGACCATGCTACAGCAGTGAGCAGCAGAGGTGGGGAGAGGCGGGGCTATGGCTTCATCGTTATCAGAAAAATGATCGTATAGGACGTACACACGGAGCCGTTTGCCCCCCAGAGCGTTCCGTCCGCAGCAGATCTATCCACCTTGGGACCCGTTTTCGTTTTAGGGGTCCGTTTCCGCGGTTCCGTTATGGCCTCGTGAACGAACGGGCTATATGAAAGAGAAAAGTAGCGGATACAACCGTTTAGTTCCCGTGTAAACAGCACATAAGTAACATTCTTAAATCTTGAAAGACTTCCCTTCAACGGACTCATAGTGCTACACGAACCGTGTTTAAAGACTTTAAATAACTTTAAAATAACCACATTGCCAGTGTCCGGGCTCTGATGTGCCGACTCACAGTTAAGGAACGGCCGGACTGTGGTCACAGGACGCCAGGTCTAACCAAGCCCCTAGGAAGTGCTCCGGACTCTGAGGAAAATATTCGTTGTGTCCAAACGGCAGTACTACAATTTCCGTATCAGTCCGTGACGTCACCCGTTACTTCCAAAATGTAATTCATACATATTACTTATTACTGTCTTTTTTAAGTAATAAGTTACATTACAATATTACTGTCTCTGAAATGTAATGAGTTACACTACTTTTATGTTAATTTTGAGTTACTTTCACCAAAATAACCGCAAGAATAATGGCTAGGTATTTTAAATGCTAAAATGTAGTTTAGTGCAGCAACTGTGTAGGCCCTTAAGGCTACTAACAACTTGTATTACAAGCCTTAGTTGAATACTTGATTCTGATTGGTCAATTCCGTTGCTAAGGAGGATCAAGAAAGAGAAAGTAAAAGTCTGAGTCTAGGCTCGGTGAACAGAGGCTGAATTACTTCAAACACAAAAACACATGACCTGGTTCTTTATAAATTAAACATTTATTAACTACTAAAAATATAGACACTCAAGAAAAACATCACACAAATAATATGAATGGCCAAGGGAAGGTTACAAAATGTATATGGACAGTAAATCAGATGGTTGGTAAGTACTGAAAAGTATAGTTGGAACACTCTTTGACACTTTTCAGTACTTACTGACCATCTGATTTACTGTCCATATATATTTTGTAACCTTCCCTTGGCCATTCATATTATTTGTGTGATGTTTTTCTTGAGTGTCTATATTTTTAGTAGTTAATAAATGTTTCATTTATAAAGAACCAGGTCATGTGTTTTTGTGTTTGAAGTAATTCAGCCTCTGTTCACCGAGCCTGGACTCCGACTTTCAGATTATGAGACTATAATAATTGATTATGCTATCATATTTTCTCGCTTATTAGAGAGTGGTGCCCCAACTTTATTAAACATTATATTAAAGTATTGTATTGGTACACTTTCAAGTTGATAGCTAAGTAGAGTGCTGGCACTTTAGATAAATACTTAATGATTAAATCTGCACGAACAATATATACTACATATCTTGCCCACGTGCAAGGCTCATTGTTATACTACACTACATAACACTTGCATTTCTATTGTAAACCTCCCGACATATTGTACATAATAGGCTTAGGGGCGGGGTCTGTCCTGTGCCGTGTTCAAAGGCACCACGGCAGGGCCCATGAGGTGAACTGGGATCTCTTCAAGTAGCAGTCCACAATCCATATTTTAAGTCTGTTCAGGGCCTTGAACCAGCAACCCTACGGCTCCCAGTCCAAGTCCCTACTGAGCCAGTGCTTGCACTGAATTCTGCTTAGCATGCATACAATTAGCCTGGCTCTGTTTAAAGGTTACACAGTCTTCTTACTTGAGCCTGTAATTTTCTTGTTGCAATCTGTAAAAATGATCAAGTGCAAAAACGAGTCGAACATCTTATTTTCTTATCTACAAACATGAAAATTACTGGTGTTGTCATCCAACTGCCTGACATAAATGCATTTACCAAAATGTCAAACGTTTTATTTTATTGTCTTACAGGAGATTAAATGTGCAAACAAAATGTAAAAAGGAGGTAAACCAACCTCTTAAGCCCCAAGCCTGTTTTTCAGGTTTCAGGCTCGAAAATGACATTCCCAGAACAAATGACCATATCTTCACTTCTAAAAGGGTTAAATTAAGAATCTTTTTTCTCAAAGTAATGATAAACCTGTGAATTGGATGTAGAAAAGTCAGAATCAATATATTGATATATATATATAATATATATTTATTTTAAAGAAAATTCAGATTGAACATGCTAAAAAACTGTAAATTATAGTGTCCGTCCAAAAAAAAAAACATCCAACTAACCTTGGATGATGGGTTAGTAGACTAAAAGCTTTAGGAATCCAAAGTACAACATATAATAAGTACCCTGTATCAAGATTGATGTAAAACAAGTGATATTTGACCTTTTTAGACAGATTTAGCAAAAAAACCCTCTTCTGGGGCCATTTGGGTGGATTTTCCTTATCTCTGGCCTCTCTTCTTCGATTTTGATATGTGACATCTCTTTCTGAGCCAATAGAATCGAAGGGAAATCGTCCCTGACTCATCTTTTCTATCATATTCACAAATAGCATCTATTATTAGTACAAAATGTAAGGAGGGAGCCATGCCTGCTTCATGTATGGAAGAGGACCAGCGCCTCAAGAAAGCAATCATATCATCAGGTGTGGTGGTCTCTAATATTTATAAATTATTATCTAGGGCTGCCCCGAATACCTATTCTCCTGTCCAACTGTCCTGGGAGCATGCCTTGAATATCTCTCTGTCTGCTTTGCAATGGAACTCCATTTGGAGGTCAGATATGTTCTCTTCTAAATGTGTAAGATTCAGGATCATTCAGTTCAAAATTATCAATAGAGCTTACATCACCCCTGTTACAAAATCCAAGATGGATAATAAACACAGAGACTTATGCTGGCATGAATGTGGCAATCGAGGTACATTGTTGCACCTACTCTGGGAATGCCCAGCGGTAAAAAAAACTTTGGTCAGATGTAATATCCTTAATGTCTGAATCTTTAAAAGTTAATTTCCCTACATGTCCCATTGCATGCCTACTGGGTCTCAAGCCAGATGGCAATGTTGCAAGGACTGCCGATCGGCTCTGGACATTGGGCTGTTTAGCCACAAAAAGACTCATCCTACTAAACTGGAAGGAACGCAAACCAGCCTGCTTTACTAGGGACTCATGGCTGAGGGAGTATCTGGACCTACTGAATATGAAGCGTGCAGCTTCTCTGCTGGGGGATTTTGAGGGGAGACAGGAGGATTGCGGCTCACTGTCCGCAGCTCTCCTGTCTGACCCTGTCAATATGGCATCTCCTGTGTAATGTATAATGTATTGTGTATGTAATGTCCTGTGTATGTCACAATCAGCTGTCTTAGGAAGTCATCCTTGCATTCCCCCCCCCCCCCCCCCCCCCATTATGTTTTGTTTAGTTGTTTGTTGTTACATGTTTTGTTGTATGTTCTGTTATCTGGAGCAATGTCTGTTTATTTTATAACTGAAAAAAAAAAAGATTAAAAAAAAGAAGGGAAATCGTCCCGCACACACTCATGTTAAAAAAAAGGTGACGTCTTTGCGCATTCAATGAAGCTACAGAGCGTAGGAATGGCTGCTCTACTATTTTAAAACGGAATTGCAGTTTTATTGCTTATAGATTATCAGAACATTTCAAAGGGGACACAGCCACATTGGATATTAACCTATGGATTAACTACATCATCGTTGTTATCGTTTTAATGCCATTGAAGACCAGTTTAGACCAGACAAAGACGAAGGTAAGCCATGTTAGCGTTGTGGGCTACCTAGCGCCACTTGTTTTGATGTACGTTTTTGTTGATAACGTCGCAAGTTTGTATCTTTCAGTGTTGAGGTGGGCACCATTAGATTCTGTGTCTTTACGATCATAAACGATGTGTTGGATGTGCAGCTAGGATAAGTAATAAGGGAGCTAGGAGTGATTTTCAGTGCAGTAATAGGTTAGCATTTTTCGCTCGGGGCTAATTCAGAGGCTCATTGTTAGCATTGTGTGTTTTTTTTGTTTTTTTAAATGAAAAAGATCAGTTAAATGAGTTTTTTCCCGTTATATGGATATAAAATATTCATAGTTTATTAACTATTAAGGTTCCTTAGACGTTGTTTCCTGCAAATGACGCGATTTCGGCCCCGGAACCGGGTCCATGGGGCTTAAGAGGTTTTAAGTCACCTACAGTTTTAAGGCAACCTAGAAACATCAGGGGCTAGTCCATTTTAGGCATTTAAGCTATAGACACCCACCTTCTTTGATGACTTCCAGTACACGCATTGTGTAAATGTCTGTGGACAAACCGTCTTCAAACACTTCCAGTTTCACTTTGAACACTGAGGACAGACACATTGTAGATTGTAAGCTCATCTGCTTCTTTGCTCACTTGTTCTCCAAATCTCTTAGACGTAATCAAACACATACATTTTTGGGGTATAAAAGTACTATTCTAATTCAATCCATTTACGCTCTCTTACCAAAATCTATTTTGCTGGTTGGTATACTCTCACAAGCCTTAGCTGTGCGCTGATCATTGCTGATGTTCGCCTTCTTCTGCATACTGCAATTCTCTGGAAAGACAAAATTAGCATAAAGTAATAACACATCTGATCAAATGTTTACATCAGTACATGACAATGGATGATGGCAGCTGTATTTACGTCACAATTTAGATTATTAGTGAGGTTTTTTTAGACTGCAGGTGCTTGTGATTTACGGCAAACTCAATTTTACAGCATTCTCCTTTATCATATGTGAAACTAAGTGCTTTTCTCGCAAGGAGTACAACTCAGTCTGAGAAAACAGACTTTATGTTGTAAATCTGAGGGACAATACCTGGTTGTGATGGAAACTTCTGAAGCAAAGGTGCGCCGTAAGGGGGTGAAAAGTTAGGACGATTCTAAGGGCCCGTGACTGACAGGGGCCCAAACCATTTTAGAACATTAAGAAAAAAAAATGTAAGTAACAAATGTGATATCTTTTCATGGGGCCCAAAATCCCTGGTGGTGCCACGAAACTCAGAGAGTCACGGGGAGAGCTGGAAATACACTATCATTTCTTTCAATTGAATATTGAAAGAGTCACAATAAAATTGTCCGCAGCTGTAAATGCACCAGATGGGATCAAGGCTTTTTACCCCGCTGCTGGCCATAGGTGAGGAGAGACTGACTAACATTGACTAACATGGGGAAAGAGATGTCTGTAAATTGGTGGATACTTTTTTTTTAACAAAATAAACTACCCAGTATGAACTATTTTATAGCCCTTATTAGATTTATTCGGTCCTTAAAGTTATAAAATGCACTACAAGCCGAATCTAGATTTATTTTCTCTCTCCATTCATTCTAGTGAGCCGAGAGTGGGAGATCGGGGCGGTGCTTAAGGGGCGCATGCTCTGTGAGCGCACATAGAGTGGCCCCTTCCGGTGGACCTCCATGGGACCTTATTTCGAAAAAATTATGTATTGAAGTCAATGGAGAGAGAAAGATTATCTTTCGATCCCGTTTGAATTGTGCCACAAATTACACATTTGTTTGTCAATTTAAAAGATAATTTTGCAAGTAAAAAAAAAAAAAAAGTGTCGTAAAACTGTGAAGTAACACATTTGTTTGTGTGAAACGCTCAATGAACTACATCTCTGGTCTCGCAGAACAACACACGTCACCAAGATGGCCGTCACTACTGTCTTGTCAACAAAACGATTGACTACCCTCACTATCATCACAATGAAACACGTCGAGAAGAATGTCATGCAAAGCTGCCTGCCTGCCTTCCTTTGATTCTCTCTGAACTGCCTGATCTTTTTAATGTTTAATGTCAACCATTTGTGCAGATAGCATGAAGTAGGAAAGATCGGCAATCGCCGATGCTAGCGTTAGCATTTCTCCCCCGGGCTTAAATTGTGTATTATAGAATGATCACACCGGTGACAGTACTCTTCAAAGGGTTCACGAAATATGTCTACTAGGGCTGTCAAGTTAACGCGTTAATAACGCGTTAACGCAAAAAAAAATTAACGCCACTAATTATTTTAACGCATGTGTATTTTTTTCCTCGGCTGCCCCGTAGTTTCAGAGCGCATCGAGTTTAAAATACCATCTACAAGCTGATGCTGACAGCCCCGCTCCTGCTGCCTGCTTGCGGCAGACCACACTTCCACGCTCACCGGCAGGCACCGACAGGCCATCGGGAGGACCGGGAGGGTGTGTGTATGTGTGGCTCGAGCGAGAGAGAGACCTTACGTGTATTGTTGTTGTTAGCATCTGGTGCTAGCTAGCTGCGCTAACGGATATAAGGAGCTGTTTCAATGAAAACAGAGGAGCGACATTTCGCCGACAACTGCGCCGAGCACTCGACTTTATGCAGGAAGCCAGACAGTGGGACATTGTACGAAAAGTCAGCACACTCAGCACGGATAGTGTGCGCAACATGATTGCAGCGTCCAGGCAGCTCCCGTTCGAGCATATGCCTTGAGTTGCATATAGCTCCAACGAGCCCTCCCACACACACACACACACACACACACACACACACACACACACACACACACACACACACACACACACACACACACACACACACACACACACACACACACACACACACACACACACACACACACACACACACACACATCACACACACACACACACACACACACACACACACACACACACACACACACACACACACACACACACACACACACACACACACACACACACACACACACACACACACACACACACACACACACACACAACACACACACACACACACACACACACACACACACACACACACACACACACACACACACACACACACACACACACACACTTTGTATTGTATTAGAGGTTCCAGGTTGAATTGAGGCAAATATTTGTAATGTTCAGAGGTTTAATATTCATGAGAATATTTGTCATTGTTCAAATGATAATAAACATTTGCATAAAGCATATTTGTCCACTCATATGTTGATAAGAGTATTAAAAACGTAAAAAATATTCCTCTAAGGTACATTTAGAACAGATAAAAAAAATTGCGATTAATCGCGATTAACTATTTTAATCGACTGACAGCCCTAATGACTACTACTCTTACTGTTTAACATTTTGGGTTACTTAATGTTACTTCATATTAAGGCTAATAAAAATGACAAGGCTGTAATGCTAACTAACGTGCTAGCTACTAGCTAGGTAGCTAACTTGATCCAGCCACTCCTGGTCCTTTCATCAGACGGGAAGCGAAAGAACGAGCAAGACCCATTGCTGGTATGATAACAACCTGGTACTAAGCACACAGGCATCTTGTTAAAGTTATCTTATCTTAGCCAGCACCATATAGATAGATTATATCTATATGGCGCTGATCTTAGCTATCTCTTAGTGGAGGAAAACAATTGTGACATCACTTACGCGACTCTGGGATTTGTAGTCTTTCTAGTTGCGTATTTTTCATAGTCTTATATTTCAACAGTTTTACGACAAACTGTGACTTTTTTGACATGGAAATTATTTGTTAAGATTGACAAACATCATATGTGTAATTCATGGCACAATTCAAACTCAATACATTATTTTAAAATGAAATAAGGTCCCATGGACCGGAAGTAGATGGGCGTGACTTCGCCACTCTATACGGGTTCTTCTGCTCTGACAGCCAGGCATGATGGGTAATTTGTGATGTTTCGCTCCCTCAAAAGTTGGGCCATTTCGTCTTCATGCGCCAATGAGCAGCTCTCATAGGAAAGAACGAGACCCCGCCTCCCACGCTGTATCCAGTTCTTATTATACATCCATGGATAAGAGCCGTTCGAATTAGATCAGTGATTCTCAAAGTGTGGTCCGTGAGCGCCCCCTAGTGAGTCACCAGGCTTGCATATGGGCCATGCGTCATCACCTCACATGCTTCACGCACGCAATCGACCTAGGTTATGGGTCTGCGTCAACAGGCTTGGATATGGGCCATGCCCATGCGTCTCTGTTCGGCTTCAAAGGGCCTGACGCTCCACACTTCAAGTGCAGTTCTACACAATATCAAGTTCAATGCTACTCTGTAATATGATTTCCCCATATAACTCGCTCATTATATCCATAGATCCCTGTTGCCATCAAGTAAGGTAAGAAACTCCGTACATGAAACTGCCTAATACAGTTATTCTTTTGGGTGTTTTATCGGCTCGGTATTCCCCTCCTGGATGATACTCCAAACACCATTTAATTCATCTGTGTATCTTTGGCAATAAATATATATTGTTGCATCAAAAAAGTGTCTCTCCTGATTGTAATGCCTTTAACCATTAGCCTGTTACCATGCCAAACTAAGATGAGGACCACAATAATCCTTATATCAGCAAAGAGTCAACATGTTTGCATTGTGATTCCAAGCATTTTAGCATGCTGGGACACGCTTCTGAATCTTTGTTTGACCTTCTACCCCTTACTTTTTTATAGTACAATAATAGATTGCTGCCGTTTACAGACCTCAGACCTGCAGTCTACCTCTACAAAGCATAATTTAAGTGTTGTGTTATTTAGAATTTTAAATTGAACAAATACAAGTTTACAGTGGATGGATAAGGTTGTTTTGACCCGTTTACCTTCAGCACATATGCACTCATCACCTCTGCAGAGCCGCAGTAGCTGTCCACCTTTCCTCTCTGGATGGTAGAACTGCACACAATGTGTTTCTGAATTGGAAGAAAAATATATTTGAACATGTTTTTTTGGTACTTTATAAAATATACATGAAATACTTGAACATGTAATAATGCCTGCTTATTATATTCTCTGACATATATTGGGGACAAAACACATGGAGGTTTCTCTAAGACTCACGCTCATAGTATTCATAGACAGACACAGCCGCTGGTTGTAAGACGCCCACTTTCATCTTCTGATGAACCCTAAAAGTGATTTCTTCTGGTCGTGTGTGAGAAACCTGAAGATAAAGGTGAGATAGAGATAAATACACAAAGAGCAAGGCAGAGAGGAAAAGTATGGAGGAAGGAAACAGCGACGCCTTACCTTGTCCAGGTAGATGATGAGTGAGCCTCTTTCTGACAGGACTTTGTCCATCTCATATTTTGCAATGGTGCGCCCATGTCCTTTGGACAACTAAACACACACACATAATCAGACCATTAACCATAATACACATATCTTTTCTCCTAACAAAAACCAGCTGGTGCATTTGTTGTGGGTTAATGTGTATCTGTAAAAGTTCTTACTGAGTCCAAGTCCTTTGTGTCAACGGTGAAGCCGGTTAGCAAGCCAATATCCAAAATTGACATTGCTGCATCTCTTTCCTTGTCCTTAAACCTGTACACAGAATAGATTGAAGGAAATTAAAGTGTTAAGGAGATAGGGGAAAGGGTAAGGAACAGAAGCAGAATATTTAATACAGATTGTGAAATATAATAATATTGTAAATAGCTGGTTAGAAAATGTTATGAATGAAGCCATGTGTCAGTGTGTTGCCTTGGTTGTACTTACAACACTTCTATCCTCAGCTTGTATATCATCTCGTCCTCATCCATTTTTTCTGGAGTAAAATATTGTATTTAGTTAATTTGTTTCTCAAGAGTAAGGTACAACAAATGAAGAAGAGACAGAAGGCACTAAATCACCTGGGATGAGCTGCACTGACAGGTTAAACATCTGACAATCACTTTCCTTTTGTTTAGGTAGAGTGTAGTACAGCGACACCATCTGTCACACAGAAAAGGTGCAATATTTGATATAAGTCCTCACAAGGTTAAAAGGGTATATGGTCACATCTTGATTTTTTAATAGGACAGATCAGTTATTAACTGTTACTAAAACTCGGAGTATAAAATACAAAAATATATTACTCACTCTCAATGTTGCTTCTCCTGAACCCTTGGCAGTCACTGTCACGTTTTGGTTGATATCATTGATCTGTCAGAGTTTAAATATGAGCACAAACACACAATGTCAAGGATAAGCAGACATTAAAGTATTATACCAATATTATTTGTGTGACGAGATCAACAATCTGTGTGTAAATGTGCAATATACAAATTAAAACTACTTCGGACCGAAATTGGATTAATCGGGCAAATCTCCAGGGAAGAATTGAGATCCACAAGTGACTTTAGATTTCGTAAATAAAAACAAAATTTAGTTCAAAAGTAAAAAATCTTAGTAATATAGTTACTTTTTATTTATTTTCTGTATTTTCAGATCCCTTTTATAGCTCAATATATTTTTGAGAGTTTATAGATTTCTTTTGTATTTGTGGAAGACTACACACAATATTCATGCAGAATTTCAATCTGCTCACACATTACCACTTTAATGAGCCACTGTTTGTGAATTTGTGTGTGAGTGTGTGCTTACTTTAGACATCCTTGTGGCATAGTGGTTTTCCCTGTTGAAGTTGTACCTTTCAGGCCTTGACATGCCCGGCAACAACATTAACACGTTCAGATCATATTCTGGTTCTATAGCACTGGACCAGTACTCGGATAAAGCCTGGTACACCATAATGGTGGCCTTTAGTAAAACAAGAGGGAGGTGGGAGAAAACAATGATCAGAACAAAATAAATGCGAATCTAAAACAAGATGGAGGGATCAAGATGGAGAGAGGTGTCTCTTCTTACCTGAGTCGATCCATAGCCTCCGCCAACTCTCTCCTGTTCTTTGAACCATCTCACAACAGGTCTGGCATCTCCAAAAGCCTTTATTCATAGAAGGAAGGTAAATGGTTGAACTTTTCTGTCATGTACTGCACATTGGAATGATCAAAAGACATACAAATATAAAAAAGACAAATCAGTTACTTAACAATTGTAATACTTAAAATATTGTTTACTTAAGATGGTAGCATGTCAATTATATTTTGAGGCTGTGACATTACTGAGAGACACATTTCATTGAAAATTGTTTGCAAACCTTTATATTAAAGTAACATGGACTAAATTGTATGTTGTCTGTAGCATGAAAGGAACACACATAAATGCGACATGCTCACCTGGGCCCTGACCAGAGCGAGAAGAGCGTAAGCCGTAGCCTCCAGTGTGTAGACACGTCCCTTAGACATCGGCCAGTGGCTCAACTCTAAGGACGACACACAAATATCTTCCTTATTACTTTGCTATACATGCATCTATTTACTTATAAATCCAGGTTATCTCATTTTAGAAAATAATGTATAATTAAAATATGTAAGGAAATATTAAAATGTACTAACTAATCCCCATACATATATCTGTTATTCAAAACGTTTCACCAATATTTGTTGTGAGCAGGACATCGTATGGCTGGAAGACTATTTATGTCAATTACAGACTTTTCGTTTCTAAATGAGTTCAAACATTTGACATTTCTCTACTGAGCAAAAATCATCCCATAATATCAATGTGTTGGTCAGGCTCTTAGTAGTTGTGGATGAGAAATCGTTTGAATCTAATCACCAAAACATAGACTATGTTTACAAATAATAGTTTAAGAATATTAACAGCACCCGGGGAAGCAAACTTGTAGAGGATCTCGCGGTTCATTTTGTCTTCATTGGCCATGGCATATGATGTCATGGCAACAGCATATGGGTTGGTGAGGCTTGGCAGACGCCTTTCCAGATAGGCCACCGCTTTTTCTATACTACGGGGTAGACTCTGTACACAAGGGAGGAAAGAGAATAAGGTGAGAACAGTCAGATAGACATTTTTAGGCAACCAAAAGAAAAAAAAAATACTTTTCATGAAATTAAAACAAACTATAAGTGAGTCTAAAACGAAAACATAGACAACATCCTAACCGGATAGCACTATTTTAGCTACTATTCAATCTCATGGTAGCCTCGCCATAAAGCATACACTGATTAATCGTCTATTTTACTCTAAATAGGACCATCATTTACAAAATGAACATCATGCTTCAATAAAGAAGACTCAAATCTAGCGATTGCGACCATAACCTAATTTGGAAAATCTTTACTGAATAAAAAATCAAGTGAGAAATTGGTTTATTTTCTCTTAGACTTCTATACAATCTGACTTGATTCTGCCACAAGTGGAGTCGCCCCCTGCTGGATATTAGATGCAGCTTTAAGGCTCATCCGGATTGGCTTCACTTTTTAGACCCGGAGCATGCTGCTTGGACAGGAGCAGCAACAGGGCTGGCTGTTAAACAGAGCTTTACAGCTTTGCAGATGTGAGATGCTTCCCAGTGGTTTAGTGGTTCAGAAAGCTTTATTTTGCACATCCTCTGCGAGGAGACGGTAAATAAAGAAATGAAACAGATGAGAGAAAAAGAGAAAACATTGTATGGAGGTAAAGTACTCACACCAACACTGGCAGCACATAGCATTCGTGACTCCTGCAGAGCAATGAGGCAGAAGGCCGTCATGGAGGCATCTGAATCTGCGCCACGCACATCACCCTGGACACACACACTTATTTATTTATTTTTAGAATAAGGGTCGATAACATGCTATTGTTTTCAAACTTATTAGATATTTTTGTAGCACATAGATGAAAAACAGATGAAACCAGTGAACGCACCATCATCTCTTCATGGATCACTCTTTCAACTTCTCTAAATAAGCCATCAGGTTGCTGTGCGTTGCTAATCAGAAACTTGATGGCCTCACAGATGTGTGGGCTTTGCACTGCTACCAGATTGTTTGCCATGGCAAACACCTTGACAACATAGGCCGTCAACCTTAGAGGAGAGAAGAAGGTGTAATAGTTTAGTTTTATTCATACGTGACATATATCATTGTGTGAGTTTAGGGATGTTTGAATGCCTCACCAGGTGCTACTTGGGATTAGATGAAACAAAGAAAAAGACCCATCATTTTTCCGGAAGACAAGCTCTAGGTTGTAGCCTGTACACAAACAAATACACACAACCATTTTTAAAAGTGCCATTCATTGCTCTACTGAATCTTATTGATTAGAAGCCAGTTTAAGGAGACCTGATTTTTTTCAGTCATTAGAGCTTCTTTCAAATGATTCTGCTGGCATAGGCTTTTAAAAAGGGAAACCCAAATGAGGGCTGGACAGGGGTGGTGTGGATTGATTTTCTTTTTCAAACCTCTTCTACAATGTCAGACAATTCAAAATCACACTCACAGTGGCATTAATAAGATTCTGCTATCTGTACTAAAAATACATAAGATAAGATAAGATTTTATTTTAGGGATGCCAGTGATTATTCGATTATTCGAATATTCGTTACAGTCTCCATAATCGAACATTATTTTTAAAAATCGATTTTATTTATATATTTTTTTATTATTATTTATGTTTTTTTTTTTTTTTTCTGGCTTAGTTTCAACCAAAATATAGACTAATGCTAATAATAGTAATAGTATTAATAATTGTAAATAGCCATTGGTCACACCACCAGTTTGTTTTACTGTAAACTTGGAGGAAGCCTGCGTGCAGAGCAGACTGCTGCTGCAGCACGATACACACCGACCCCACCCCCACCCCCCCTCTCCCTCACACATGCGACTAAAGATGAACAAAGCGGCAGATAAAAAGAGTTCCTCCTCGTGGAACTACTTCGAACTTACAAGTCCAAAGGAAGTTAAACGCAAGCTCTGCGAAAAGACGTTGGTCTATCACAGGGGGTCGGTCGAATAATCGATTATTATTCGCCAGGGCTGCCGAATAATCGATTTTGATCATGGTCAGTTTCTGGCAACCCTACTTTATTTATCCCGAAGGAAATTGTTGTGCCAGAGTAAGAAAATACAATAAACACAATAAACACAGCAGCACAACAGTACACTAAAAGTGCAGCTAAAAGAGCAATTAAACATCTACAGACAACATGAAACATAGAAACATAGATGGTCATACAATCAATGCATCAGTGACCCTACCAGTCTTGATGTGTTGGAGGGCTTCATTACGTTTCTCAAAGCCCACAGTTTCCCACTGGTTGGTTTTGTCTAAATATGTGGCTGCAATGACAGGTAGGGTCATGCTCATCATGTTCTTCTCTCCATTGCCAGAGGGCTGTCTGATTAGAGTACCCATAGAGTTCCCGCTAACAGCGTTCTCCACGAGGGCAGAAACTTGTTCTCTCCCTGAATGAACACAGACAGACAGAAAAGAAACACAAAACGATATAAATCAACAAGAAGAAACCACTAAGCAAACAACAAAGTGCCCCGACGACCATGAGGTAGATATTTCCCAATAAGAACAATACAAATGTATATATTGTTTCCATTGTGCATATCACATATCAATCCCCTATATGGAATTATGTCCCACCTGTCACAGAGATCAGTGTGCGTGTTGGTGTGTTTGGAACCAAATCTCTCATGGAAATTCTACTGTTGAGAATTTCTTTTTGTTCACCATCTAAAAGGGAGAAACAGTGGGCAAGTTTCAGCATCAATTAGCAAAAGATAAACACATAATGTTGATAAACCACTATACTGTATAATGCAGCCATGTCATTCTTCAAGGTAACTCACCTACACCTTTATTAGTGGGGTCTAGAATTACAATCATAGGATCTTTTACTAGTACACCTTCAGGCTGGAAAAACAACAGTTAGGACAAACATTAGAAATCACAATCATTTGCATGACTTTTTGAGTAATCGGTCTCTGCTGTTGTTTAACAAAGTCAAATATGGTCCGAATTTAAATAAGATATTAATATTCAATAAGATGCATTTCATAAACTTAACAGTTTACCAAAACTGACTTTACCAGACTATTTCTCTCATACCCGTAACTGTAGCTTTGTCACGTTATTAAACCGATTGTATTCAAACTGAGGTTTTTAAAGGATTTGTAAACGGCTTGTTGCTTGAAACTAAAAGTAGTTACAAGAATATTGCATCCATAATGTAACAGACCTCGGATAAGTTCTATTTTATGGCAGCTTGAACATTGTAATGCAATAAGAGAACAATTCCACATGGTGTAGGAAAAAAAACAGGGCATGTAGTCTTTTTCCAACCCACTCTCTTCAGTCTGCGTACAAATGACACGACTTTACACATTGGAAATGCGTGCAATAGATACGCAGAAGTCCGATTTTGCGTGCATATGATACGCTAACCAATGCCATTGAGTTCTGAGGCCGAGTTTTGTGTGCATATGATACGCCACGTTTTGTCCGGTCGGGTCTTGGTAGACCGGAAGCTGTGTGGTTCATAAAAACATATTCTTACCGGTTCTTACTCAATATCAAGCTACGGTTATTGTTTTTATTTAAAATCGTATAATGTCTGACTTTTTTTGCATGGAAATGGGGCTCGGAGCCTCAGAATAATGAAATCTGTATTTTTTTAAAAGAAAATGTCCTTCTAATTTGTTATTCTTTTCTGAATAACACACTGTTATTTACTCAACAATAACACACAATTATCCTTGTTTTTATTTATTTGTTTAATTCTATAATCTCTGGCTTTTTAGCCGTTCCTCAGGAACTGAATTTCAAAATAAAGTCACCGGAAACAGACGTAGGCCTATGAGGGACATTTCGAGCATAATTGTGATACACACCACAAACCCACTGAACTGATTACCTAAGCTAGAAGCTCGGTGATTGGATTGTTTAGCCGCAATGCATGTTGGGATATGGTGTTAATGCGATATGAAATCCGAAAAACGAAAATACTTTATTCCGAGTGTGCTTGCTTTTCTCCTTGGAAGTCATCACATAACGGCATTGTAATACACAGTTCGGCTGCATTAAATATTACACATCAGCCTTAGTTCTTTATTTATAGAGCCCTGATGAGAAGACTTCTGGACAAACAGGAAGAACAGCCACGGAAACTGAATATAAGACGTGGATCATAAATATATCAGCAATTAAACAACATCTTCAATTTCTCTTCACACAATACGTCTCCTTGCAGTATCAACATTAATTCGGCTGACTTTTATATTTGATCCAATTGGTAGATAGGTTATATTTACACCGTAACGGTGCATAGCTGATAGAAAAGGACTTGTAGTTTTTAAAGATATTACTGATTTTCTTTGAATATAAGAATGTAAATACTGAGTTGAGAGAATAGTCAGGGTTTTTGGGTGATGTTAGACACATCTATGGAATCACAATTTCAATAGCTTACCATTAAATGACGGATATATGCCTTTCTGTCTGTGATGTTTTACAAATCAGATATTAATGTGTAGAAGTAAAACATGAGAAATAGTATAGCAATATCCTGTACAATTATGTAAAAACATGAATAAAACTACACATCTTCAGATGTCATACATACATAAGTGTCCTACACTAATAATACACAGTTGTTATTATTAGTATGCTGTGTGTACCTTGTGTGCACCGCTTAGTGGTTAAAGCACGTTATTTAATTTTTGTTTTGAATAATGTTATTTTTGTTGAATAATGTTATTTGATGAAACAAATATTAAGAGTACATACAAAACAGACAGGGGGAAAGTAGAAGGTCAATGATAGAAATATAGAATATAAAAAATCAAGAAGATACTGTAAGTGATCTCTACAATAAAACAGTTTAGTGCCGGATGTACAAAGATATTAATATGAGGATGTGCAAAACAGACAAACTAATTAACCTTTATTAACACATTAAAGAATACTTTAGGTTAAGGTCTTCTTTTAAATAAGAAAAAAGCTTTTGGGGTATCTACACATAAATATTAAGCCTGACAAAGTACTTAACGTCTAATATATTGCTTTCCTGCCTATGTTGAAGCACTTATTTTAACTGATATTATACACATTAATTATACTCTTATGTATGTAGATAGTATAAGAAATGTCAACCCAGTCTCACATCTAAACGTGTAATACAGTAACTACGTTGGTCCACAACTTGGGATGTAGTATTTCTACAAAAACGTCTCTGAAATTGTAGGATCCCTATGTTTTTTTTCACCATTAATTTCCAATGGCTGTGTCACGTGATCTTCAAATTTCTCTCCGCATAAAAAAAACAACATGGCCGACCTTTGTTTTATTCTCGGTGGAAAATGCCTATTTTAAGGTCAGTTTGGCCATTAAAATGCGTTTTGATGTCATTTGATGCGAGAAATATGAGTTGTTATTTCAGATTATGTGTGCAGTGGATATACATGATCTTTAGTTTGCTAGTTATTACGAAGATTACTTCAGGAAATTGTGTACATACAACGTGTTCATTATTACCAAGGTGGTTGCTAGGGACGCTGCTATCGATATTATTTCTGTTATGTTGTGTAACTGTTTAATGGTGTTATCTTTATTGCTACCCCCATATGTCTCCTTGCAGTATCAACACTAATTCGGCTGACTTTTATATTTGATCCAATTGGTAGATAGGCTGTATTTACACCATAACGGTGCACAGCTGATATAAAGGGACACCTAGTGTTTTTTTTTTATTATTACATATTAATAGGATCCCTATAAAGTATATTCATCACTCGTTATTCTCTACTAATAGTTAATTAAAGACTGTGTATAATGACTATTTTGCACATCCCTTTCAAGATTTCAAGATTTTCTAAGGTTTATTGACATATCATATTATACACAACTACGGTGTAGTTATGCAATGAATGAAAAACTTGGGTCGCAGGTTCCTCAATAGTGCATTACAAGATATCTATCAATTGTGTGTATACCTCCAGCAATGTTAACTATGTTGAAGCACTTATTTGAACTGATATTATACATATGTATTATACTCTTATAAGATGTATGTAGATAGTATAAGACATTTGCAGAATATGGCAGTTTAATGGTGGAGGTATACACACATATTGATAGATGTCTTGTAATGCACTGTTGAGGAAGATGTGACCCAAGTTTTTAATTCATTGCATAACTTCAACATAGTTCAGGTGTAACTAAAAGTCAGATATTATACGATTTAAAATAAAAACAATAATCGTGGCTTGGTATTGAGTAAGAACATGTTTTTATGAACCACACAGCTTCCGGTCTACCAAGACCCGACCGGACAAAAATAAGTGGTGCAGGCACGAAACGTGGCGTATCATATGCACGCAAAACTCGGCCTCAGATCTCAATGGGAATGGTTAGCGTATCATATGCACACAAAATCGGACTTCTGCGTATCTATTGCAGGCATTTCCAATGTGTAAAGTCATGTCATTTGTACGCAGACTGAAGAGAGTGGGTTGTCTTTTTCTTACCACCACCCGCAGCATCTTCCAAATTCCATCATTTAGTAACGAATCTTTAACAGCAGCTTTGACCTCAATGCGGAATTCTCCTTCTTTCATGGGAATGATGATGAAGGGCACAGATCGTGTAGTTTGAGCCCCAATTCGGACCTCCTGGCGATACTTTCCACGCTTTGAAGCCGAACTGCACACAGAATCCTCCTCAATCAGATCAACCCGCACCTTGAGAACAGGACAAAGATAGACTGGAGATTGTGAAGTTGCTCAAAGACTATTATTGAGGAAATAATAGGATTACATCAGTTTTATTTTTGGGTCAGCTAACGATAATGCATACTTGATTTTAATTAACATTTGATGATTTACACCGTTTTTTACAGGATAATCTGATCTGGATAATAAAAGGCACACTGTAAATATTGCAGTAAGGTTTCCCGCTGCTGAGGTGAACCGCATCTATTGTTTTTCCATCCCAGTTCAGACAACGATGCCCCGCCTCCGACACTGTATCCAGTTCTCTTTATTCATCCATGAATTCGATTTTACCATGTCCACCTCCACATGACAGAAGCATTGACGCAGCATCAGAGCGTCACCTGGGGGATTTTCATTCCACGAAAAATGAATTTGACGGCCCCTATCGTTGTTTTCCCAAGCTACATAATTGTATTACTAGAGTATTGTTTAGATAGAGAGGGTGTCATTATCTTTTTACATCCATGACGCAATCGTAGGGTGCTATGTCAAGCTTTCCTCATGCAAGTAGGGGTAAAAATAATTTAATCTAAGCTAGGTTGGAAAACAATAGGTGCAGGCCAATCACCATGTGAGCAGGTATTACACTTATCAAAGTCTAGAGTAGGAAGGTCATTCACTCTCTTTTTTATGTCAGTTGAATATTTATTGTTGATTTTGCCCTTTAGTCTAAAATGTTCTCTTGCCTCTTTTACTGTATGTAACACAGACTTACAGTTGCAGGATCGGGGCTGTAGTTGTGCAGGATTGCCTTAACTTCCAGCTGCTCTCCCCGGACAGCAGAGTATGGCAGCATGAGATCAATGAAGAATTCCTTCCGGACAATTACCTCTAACGGATCACCAACACAGATTCCTTTAAGATGAGGGGGACAATAAAAAAGGATTACATAGAGAAAGTTAGATGACTCAATGAAACAGCTTTCAGTCACTGAATTCTCACCGTGAGTAGTTGAAAGACTAATGCCAATAAACTGCCAGGTGGTGATTGAGTCTTGCAGTGGAACATGTTTAATCACTGATGTGGTATCACTGAAACAAAGAATGGTGTTAAATCTTTGAGAGATATGTGTAGGCTTAAATCTTGGTGGTGTCATTATTGAAGTTAGTGTTTTTTGTGTGTATATGTCGGTTGACTTACCATGGGTTTTGTCCAGGGCAAGTAGGAAGTGTGATATATGACCACAGCCAACTTTCAGGGAAATTGGTGCGAGGAATAATGTCATTGCTGTCAATGTAACTGTTGTCATCCTCCTCACCTAGAGGTTTAAGGCAATTATGCATTGGTTTTCCTTTTAAGACCTGAAGGTTTCCCCTCAGACAGAAGATAACAGGAAATTAGGTTATTGCTTTGTATAGGCCAGGGGTCGGCAACCCCAGGCACCGTAACCAGTGGCACACTAGGAATAAGTGGAATAAGTGTGCAAAAATATTTAAGGAAGGAAGCCATGCACGCAACGCAGCCCCGCTCTCTTTAAATCCAGGCGACTTTCTGCCGCTTTTCCTCCGTGGTGCAGTGCTGATCGGTTCACCACGAAGGAAAGCACTGCTGCTGAGCCGGCACTTCACAAATTGCAGTACCCATAAGGAGCTGTACAAATGCCGCAGTTTTGGCGTGGCTGTGTCTTTAGTTGAAAGCCCAGTGGCGATTTGCTCATCTCTCAACAAAATAATATGCTACACAGGGGCGGACTGGCCATCGGTGTGTTCTGGAGAATCACAGAACGGATGGTCGTCCGTATTATTATGCCGTTTAAACCAATTATTTAAATGTGTTTAAACGGCATCATGTAAGTTGCGCTGAAAGAAAGAGGTCCACACACTGCTTCCCCTCCCTCCTGTTGACAGTTCACGAGGGCTGAGCTTTTCACCCCCCACGTTGACAATTCACGATCGTCGGCACGCTGATCAAAACAAAATGTTTGAATGGCACTTCATATCAAAAAGGTTGCCGACCCCTGGTATAGAGTTCTGGTTCTTACTTAAGCTGGTTCTGACATCCATGTTTGTAGTCTCTCGTTTCCTTCTGCTCGGTGCCGGACATTTCAATTCTGAAATAAGCAACAGAGACAAAATCTTTTCCAGAACTCAACCATATTTAACCTACTTTAAGCATTGTATAATTGTTATGGAACTTTTAAAAACAGAGGGAGGTGATTTCTCTGGTAGGAAACGTGAACAGGGTGTGGGGGTCAGCAAATTTGGTATAAGATAAGATAAAATAGGATAGGATTATATTCATCCCGAAGGAAATTGTTGTGCCAGAGATATAACGATACAACAAACACAGTAGCATAATAATAAAACTGTACCCTAACAGCGCAGTAAAACCAGCTAATTAAATAACTACAAGAAACATTGATGGTCAAATTATTAATATAAAAAACTATAAAAAACGACATATCATTAAACGTTTCATTCGTGTAATTGTTATTATATAAATGCTTTTTTATATTACAAGTGCTAAAGGTGGTTTTTAAAACTGACTAATAACAAGGACAGTTCAGCTGAAGACACTTGTCCTACAAACAAATACCCCAGGAAGTATCTGACATTTCTAGTTTTTTTATTCCATATTTAAAGTATCTGTCGTTTTTCTAGCATACAATATTTTTCTAGCACTAAAATATTTACAAAATATATAAACAGCAACAAACCATTTAGAGAGACCAAAACAATCTGCATGACCATAAAAGGGAGCCGTAAAAAGACCCTGAACCGAATATGCTCAGCCTTTGACTGATGGTGATAAATAAAGGTCTATGTGCTCACCTTTCTTCTTAGAGATTCATTTGTATACTATTGTAGCCTAAAACTATGTTCAGGGAAGGGGAGAGTAAAGTAGTGTCACCTTGTCTGTAGGGAGTCCCAGAAGCCGTGTTGGACTCAAACAGCAGCCCTGCGTCGTAGAACACACTCATACCGTTCTTCCCTCCACCTGGTGTGCAACCTGTGTCGTACTTCTCTACAACATCCCACACCTGAGCATAGTGAAAGTCATTCACACACAAATAAATAAATAAGACTCAAAGGCAAGAGGTAGACAGATCTGGAAACTCACATTACAATTCTGATATGTCATTAGAAATGTATTCGTGCAATGAATGCAAGAAAAATATGATATAAATAAATTGCCCTTTTCTGTGTGAGGCGGTGCTTGTTGTTAAGGACATAGACGCCTTTGTCCACTGCCACCAGTCCCACTATGGCCCCTGGGTCTCCTGTAACCTTCAGACCAAACATCTTGCGAGGCTCGTAGGATGGAGCGGGTCTCGATGGTTCCAGCTTCAGCTAAATGTGAAGGTGAGGTCAATGAATGACACATACGGTTTGGATTTGTTGAACCAGTTGCTTACATTAAAAAATGTCAGAAGAATACAGTAATAAATAAATCAGATGTGTATGTTTTGTATTGCGTGTCTCACCGAGCCCATGCAGGAGTCTTTTACATCCACCCAAACAGAGTCTGATACCACTTCATTCTCATTTGTGTGGTAATAGGCTATGATGCGGAACGATGGCAGCATGTCTTTGGTAATGAGAACCATCAGGGAGATCAGCACTTGACCTCTTGTCTTGTATCGGCCTTTTAGCACCAGCTGACCTCTGCTCATGAACTATAGGGACACAGACTTATATATCAGCACTTATTGCACATGCGCGTGTATACTGCACTACACAACTTGATGGACGCAACAATAAGGGTAGTATAAGCTCACATGCACAGATTTCAAACATCTCTCACCAGGTATGTGATGTCACAGTCATGACTTTCCTGCATGATGAGGTTGAAGGTGATTTTCAGGTTATTTCCTAATTCTACATCAGCTGAATCCACACCTGCAAATATGACATGTTTTGATTGTAGTATCTACAGTATTTCTAAAGTAGAGCATTGTAGTACATGTTCTCCCCATAAAACAATGATATTTTACATTGCTTCTGATGGACAGTTATTCTAGAGCAGGGGTGGGGAACCTCCGGCCCCCGGGCCGTATACGGCCCGCGAGACAATTTGGTACGGCCCTCGAGGTAATTTATAAACACACGCAAAAAAGAAAAAAAATTAAGAAATCTAGACCGCTAAAAAATGAAACAAGCGAGTGCCTGTTTTTCCTGGCCAAGGTCAGGGTCCATGAACACAACACAAGCCTAACGTGTCATCATGTGGTATATATGTCTCGTCTGACAGGGGTGCAGTTCTGACGGAGAGCACCAGAACGTGGCTCGGCACTTCAGATAAGGAGCCGTACACATGCCGCAGTTTTTGCGTGTCTGTGTCTTTAGTTGAAAGCCCAGTGGCGATCTGTTCATCTGGCATACTGATCATACAGTCAATAGCTTTGTTGTTATTAGCATCTGGTTAGCTAGCTATGCTAACGAATATAAGAAGCTTTTTCTACAACCAGCAGGGGCGGTTCTAGGGGGGGCAGGGGGGGCCAGTGTCCCCCTAACACTGACCCCTGTGGCCCCCCTAACAATGACAATTTTCTTTTTTTTAAATGTATATTTTCTGGTACTCGGTTTGGCAAACACCGCAGGATTTTGTTGCTGTAATGTGAGATTGTGCAGACACCCTTATGTAAAGTAGAGATGTAACTGTTCATTGTCTTTATTTTTATATGGTGTGAGTGCAAACATTGCACTATAACTTAAGCTGAAGCTAACAGTAATAACTATAAGATCTATCTGAAATAAATAAGTGTACTGAAACAAATACCAATAACTGTATTGCATTGTTTTCTTATGCGCAATTACTTCATACTGTCTAGTTCTCTTTTTCGTCCTGCATTTATTGTGCCCCCCTCAGAAAATAACTGGCCCCCCAGTGGCCCCCCAGTCAAATTGGTCTAGAACCGCCACTGACAACCAGTGAGGTAAAGGCACATCTTTATATGATCATTATAGTTATAAAAAAATAAGAGAATAAAGTAAACAGGTATAAAATACTATATGACAGTAAAAAAAAAGTTGTTATTAATAAACAAGAATACAGTTTGAAAGGAGAGTGATTTGTAAAATATCCATAAAGAAAAAGTAGGTATGTTTCATTTGGGTGTTGAGAGATGTATCCATAGATCTCTTAATGTTGCTCTCAAAGTGCACCAGATTGATGCTTTTAACTTCAACATTTAAAAAAAAATCTTGGATAGGAAACTAAATACTTTTGCACACATCTTGTGTCCATATCTTTTTGTTTTGGTGGTCATGCCACAACCGTGCACGTGCATGCATGCGCGAGTCATGGTAAAATATCTGGATTAAGAGGTTGCTTTTTCTTTGCACAGCATGAAAGAAAGAAGAAATGAATGGGTTGTGATTTTAGTATTTTTAAGCAGAGGTCAATCATTTGTACGGCCCTCGGAGGATGTTGAAAAAATTGAAATGGCCCTTGAGAGGAAAAAGGTTCCCCACCCCTGTTCTAGAGCAAGAGAGTCGTAGATTAATTTATTATATAAAAGTGAAAAATGTAGGAAGAGCATGTTTTTTCCAGACAAATTATGTTATAGCTATTTGGCTCAATACCGTCCAAAGCATCCCCAACCTAAACTTTAAATAATTTCATTAATAATAAAACCCAATAATTTCATACACGCTTCACTCTACTTTCACACCATAATTTGCCAAACAGCCATAATAAGCGAAAGGCTGATTGGAGTCTATTTCTAAATTAGCACCTCCATGCAGTTAATTGAGGATCAATTTAGAATCAAACCGTGATTAAAAAAAAAAAAATAATAAATAGTTTCCCAACCCTGGTCTCTTACCTATGTGGATATAGTTGTTGCTTTCGGTAATATATGGGAGAGCTCTCATGGTGGCTGATGCTTGTCTGTTCGAGGAAATACGAGGATCATTCGTCTTTGCCTGAAATTAAAGAAACACATAAGCATACACATGGTTAAATAAATATTACTTAAAAAGTCATGAGTCTTTCCTATTCCATCTTTATCCTGGTTACAGTACGATGAAGATAAGCTTCACCATTTACATACTGCCAATTAAATGTGCAAGAAGCGGAAGTAAAGCAATGAGCTATAAAGAAACAAAAACATCTGCTGATAGCTCTGCTTGAATTCACCTTAAAAAATGAATTTCAAAAATGTTAAAAGCTTACATTTGAAAAGTGGCCTGTGGTGCCTGTATGAATTTTTAAGAGACTTACAGTGATCGTTAGTTGTGGGTCCCTTGTATTGATTGTTAGCCTTGCCATGCCATTGTTTGCGGTGAAGCCATTCACGGTGCCTGGTTCAACCACAACAGCAACACCTTGTGCCGGAGTGTTGTCAGGATTCACAACTTCGACCTGCCAACACCGACACAAACAGTTCAACAATCAGAAATATGTTTTACTGTCTTAATAGACCACATCTTATAAAGGTCAAAACTCAGTCTTAATAACTTGCTCTGTTCACTAAATATTATGACTTAGATCGTTTATGGTGAAACAAAGCTTAACGGGTACATTTCTCAATTTCTCTGGAATCATAATTAAAATCCATGACAGAAAAATTGCTATGGTCTGTTATTGTCATATAATATAGCAAGATAGAAGTAAAGTATAGGTTTCACAATGTAAGAAATTAAAATCAATGTTGAATGACGTAACTTAGTTTAAACATACTCTAAGCTTAAAACCAATTTAATTTCCGGTTAGCATTGGCTCGTGGCTAACGTTGTTGCTAAATGAATGTACAGTTTATTTTGAAAAGCTTTATTGAAAGGCGTCTCCGTTGTCAACAATGACGTCACTTCCGGTTTTACGTTAACAATGATTACAGCCGTTAAAATGCATTAAATAAAAAGTCATGAATGAGTGTGTGAGGAGAAAAGGCGTGTGGAGTTATACAATGAACACACAACGTCTAAATCCTCTGATTTACGCGATATCGGACACTGAAGAACATGTGGCGGGAGGACCCGCTTTCGTCAGAGCCGCCCGCCATTGAGAGGAGGAGCCAGGGAACAGATACACACAGAGAAGACTGAGTTCTATTTCGTATATGGCTTCGCCCTCTAAGGCTATCGCTATTGGGTAATCCCCCTGCGCCCCCGCGCAGCACTGAAAACTTGTAGTCCACGCCCACCCGCAAGGTGGGCCCCACCCTCAGGCCTCCTTCCGGTATAAATAGGAAGGAGGCCCGGCAATCTGCTCCCTCTTTTCTTCAGCAAACCAGCACAGTTACTGAAGCACAGCAATTGAGAATCATCATGAGCAACAACTGCGTCCGCGATTGTCCCTCATGTGGCTCTGGGTTCATAATGAGTTATGACCAGCAGAGATAAAAGCAGTATGCGAATCCTGCCTGGGGTCAGAGCACACGTACCAGCAGGTAGCATGCACACACTGCGCCCGTCTCCCCTCGGGCGACAGGAAGCGGAGAGCGGACGCTCTTGCTACTGCGGCCGAGGAGGACGATTGGCCCGTCCAGGCTTACGAGCCGCGGACGGGGACTCGTGTCCCTGGGGCCGAATGCCGGGCAGGAGTCCGAAGAAAAGCAACTGCTGCCCCGCCTCCCTCCACGGTTCACCGTGCGGTTCTCCCCTCCCTCCTCTCCTCCGGACGGGGGAGACAGAGTCGGAGCAGGGTGCCAGCTTGGCGGCCGAACATGCTTTCCCCCTCTCCGTCACCACAGCGCGGCGGCGAATAACATTGCGCTGCTCTCCAACTCGGTGGTGACACTGGTAGAGCGGTCCACCACCGAGGCAGAGGAAATCAGCAAGGCGGCCAGCACGGTGCTCATTCTGTGCGCGTCCGTTGCTGTCTCCCAGGCGAGGATTTCCGCGTGGGTGACACAGATCCAGCGCCACCTCTGGCGGAAGCAGGCGTCTGTTACGGAGTCGGCCAGAAAAGTGCTACTGGACGCTCCAATCAGCCCGGACGGGCTGTTTGGACCCCAGTTCCACGCCATGGTGGAGTCCATGAAGACGGCCGCGGAACAGGCGGACGGCATTCGCCAGCATGTACAGCTGGCTCCAGCCTGCTGAGCGCCCACAGCGGCACCAACGCCCGCAGCAGCTGCGGCGTCCACGCCGGCCACAGGAGGCCGCAAGCGGAGAGACGCCCACAGCAACCGCCTCGGCATCAGACTCGCCCTTCGGCGGCTGCAGGGGCTCCGTCCCACGTCTCCGCTCCCCACCACCCCAGAGACAGGGTCTCCCGGCGGCGAGTCAAAGGGGAGTGAGGCTCCCCCGCTCCTGGTCTGCTCCGCGAGAGCCTCCGAGGAAGCAGAGCCGGTAATTAAGCCAGCTGCCACTAATCTGTTGATTAGTAGACAGCAGGGCTCGCTGCAGAAGCCTGGTTTTAACCTGTTGGTTAATAAACTACAGAGCTCGCGGCATTCCTCTGTCCGAGATACGCCTCGTACACACGGCCTTAATAAACCCATGAGCGCCGTTATAACGCCTCATATGGGCAGCACTGCACACACCTCCATCCATCCCCTGAGCGTGTACGCGCCTCATGATGAGAGTCGGAGTGAGACGCAGCGTGTGGAGGCTCCCGCGCAGCCCTTTCGGTCCAAGCACACCTTGGGTTGCCTCATGGGCAGCGGCGGCAGGGGCTCTGGCGTGGCTCGTCACCATGACGACCAAAAAAACACATCTTGAGCACGTGCGCCCGCTCTCAGAGTTTTTATCAGAGTGGCAGCGCGTGGGTCTGATGGACAGATAGATGAGCAGGCTGATCAGCAGAGGATACGTCCTGCAGTTCGCCTACATCTCGTATCGCATCTGTCAAAGCCTGGGTTTCATAATAAATTGGAAGAAGAGCTGTCCTCTTCCCTCTCAGACAAACTTTTATCTGGGAGTGGAATTAAACTCAGCCAGCAGAGCACGGCTCTCGCGGCAGCGAGTGGAGGAACTGACAGCTCTCCTCCGGCATGTCACAACCCACACAGCCCTCTCCGTGACGCAGCTGCTCGGCGTTGGCGTCAGCTGGTCACGGGATGATCCCCTTGGGTCTCTTCCAACAGGGGGACACTCCAGAGGTGGTTAATTCGCTGCAGAAATTAGCTTATCTTTTCAATTTACACACGGCATCTATTGCACGTCTGTCTGGGAGAGGGGATCCCTCCTCTGTTGCTCTCCCTGAGGTTTCTCCCATTTTTCCCTTTAAACTGTGGGTTTTCTCCGGAAGTTTTTCCTTGTACGATGTGAGGGTCTAAGGACAGAGGGTGTCGTATTGTCATACTGATATTCTGTACACACTGTGAAGACCACTGACGGCCCGTCCACACAGCGGCGTGCGTTGAAGCTTCCAACGCTTCTGCCCATTCACTTTGAATGGGGTGACGTCACTTTTAGCCGAACTGCATTTTGGGAAGCGACGTGGAGCGTTGCTGGTTTCAAAAGTTGAGCAATGTTCAACTTTTGACGCCTCGACAGCCAATGAAATCCCGTTTATGCAAATCTGCCAGTACAAGCGCTAGCCAATCAAACCGCGTGTATGCTGGAAGAGACGACGCAGGTCATTTCCTCATATTCCAGAAAATGGAGGGAAAATTCATTATAGCGGTAGTGAATCACCCGGTGCTGTATGATCAGTCTCTGTTCATCTACCGGGATACAAACCGGAGGAGCGAGGCATGGAGGGAGGTGGCAGAGACAGTGGGTGAAACTGGTAGGTTTTCGCCTGTTTGGGGATTTTATATCCAGTTTACTTCGTTTTAACATTGCTATTGCTTTGTACGTCGGGGGCGGGAGATTCATGTGATTGGTTGTTGGTTGCGTTGCTCGCAAAAAATCCCCAAGCTTCAGATACGCCCACCTCCAAGCGTCAACGCACGCTGCTGGTCCGTTAGACAAATGTAACATTTGTGATATTGGGCTGTATAAATAAACATTGATTGATTGATTGATTGCAGAAGCCTGCTGTTTTTAACCTATTGGTTTATAAACTGCAGAGCTCGCGGCATTCCTCTGTCCCAGATATGCCTCCTACACACGGTCATAATAAATCCACGAGCACTGTTATAACGCCTCGTGTGGACAGCATAGACACACCTCTCATCCCCTGGGCGTGTACGCGCCTCATGATGAGAGACGGAGTGAAATGCAGCATGTGGAAACTCCCTCGCAGCCCTTTTGCCTCACGGGCAGCGGCGGCGATGGCGTGGCTCGTCACCATGATGACCATTACGTCTCTCCCCCCAGCAGTTCCATGGGATACAAGAAACACTCCTGTCATCCCAGGAACAGTGTCTTGCGCGGTTTTTACCCCCGCTATTTTTCTAAATCTCGGAAAAGAACGGGGGAGTCGCCCCGTTGCTGTACAATCAAACATGTGTTGATTTGCACAGACAACAGGCCACGGCTATGGAAGCAGATACCTCAATCGCCAGGGAGGAGTACGATCTGCGTAGCTTCTGAACTGCAGCCAGGCGGCTGCTGTTCTGGGCGCGCACACACGTTGCTCTCCATCAGAGCAATGTATATTCCCGGCGAAATTAACAGAGGCGCTCGCAGAGCGCAGCAGCCGTTGTATGCGAGGAGTATGGAGACTCAGACCTGTGTCACGCACACTGGCGCCTCAGTGGGATTTGGCTTTGGTGTTACCCGCACTAAAGCAAAGCCCCATTTGATCCTGATCAGGTTCCCCTTAAACTGTTATCAGCCAAAGTAGTACTGCTTTTGGCTCGATCAGCGAAAAGGGTGAGTGATTTGTCTGCTCTCTCTGTGGCTCCGTCATATCTCCGGATCCAAGGAGATGGCAGTTCAGCTGTTTTACGCCCTAACCCGGCTTCATGCCTAAGGTCATCACAACTCTTTTAGGTCAAGAGTGATCACCCTGGCTGGCTTATTCCCCCCTCCTTACAGGTCGGAGGAAGAAGCCACGTCTCATCTCCTCCGTCCTGTGCGCGCGCTGTCTTGCTATGTGGCGAGCACGGCGGCCTGGCGCCGTTCTCAGCGCCTGTTTGTGCATTATAGAGAGCGCTCGATCGGGCAACCTCTGTCTACACAACAGCCTCACACTGGCTGTGTGAAGCTGTGTCACAGGCATATGTCTCCTCTGGGGTGGAGCCCCCGGAGAACATCAAAGCGCACTCCACCAGAGGAATTTCCTCCTCCACGGCTTTGCACGGAGGAATGTCAGTGGAAGACATTTGCACTGCTGCATCTTGGTCTTCCCCCTGTTCATTTATTCATTTTTATTTGAGAGATGTCTCCCATTCCTCTCTGACACACCCTGTACTGGGTGTCCTGTCGGAGTGAGTGACGTCAGGGAGCCAGCTGTGTGCCTCTCTCCGGCCTCTCGGCACGCGGAGAGCGGCCCTTTTTCCCTCTTATAGGAGGGATGTTCCTTTTTCCTCTGACACACTTTGTACGGAGTGCCTGGTCAGAGTGAGTGACGTCAGGGATCCAGCTGTGCGCTCTCCTACCTGTCTGACACGCAGAGAGCTGCTGTTCCCCCTCTATGATCGCTGGACAAGGTGGGACCTTCATCTTTACTTTCTCACAGCGGCCGGTATGTATTGTTCCCAGCCTTCACCCCGTCGGGAAGATAGGCATGTTTTGCTATGTTCCAGGGACGGTGATGCGCCATTACCCATGGCACAACAGGCAGGGGGTGTTATTGAGCAGGTGTGTCTGTGCTTCTAGTGCTGGGCGGACCCAGTGGGGCGCAGACTACATCATGCTTCGCCCTTAACCCAATAGCGATAGCCTTAGAGGGCGAAGCCATATACGAAATAGAACTGAGGTTACCTACTGTAACCCCAGCTTCTATGAGTAAATGGCGCAGCCCTCTAAGTGCTGGGCCCCACTGGCTCTACGAATAGCTGAAGAAAAGTTATTTTGTATGGGAGCAGATTGCCGGGCCTCCTTCTTATTTATACCGGAAGGAGGCCCGAGGGTGGGGCCCACCTTGCGGGTGGGCGTGGACTAAAAGTTGTCAGTGCTGCGCGGGGGCGCAGGGGGATTACCCAATAGCGATAGCCTTAGAGGGCTGCGCCATTTACTCATAGAAGCTGGGGTTACAGTACTGTAGGTAACCTCAGTTTTCTCGCCCTCTCTGCTTCCCCCAACGAACATGGCGCTGTGTTCCTGAATTGCACTGTTTGTTTCAAAACCACGTTACTTAATCAAAGTACCCATTTGAACTAGTGGTGCACGATAATTATCGGCCCGATAATTATCGGTCCGATATTAGGAATGATGACGTCATCCCGATAAACCCGATAACAGTATTAATAGCCCCGATAATATAAAATATATATTTTGGGTAAAAAAAAAGAAAAAAATACTGCGGTGTGGGTGGATTGGGATGAGGGGTGCTTGTTTTTCACTCGGCTCCTCCCGTTTTGCCAGTACTGTGGTATTAGTGGTTTAAAGGAAGAGGGGAGTTTTTCACAAATCCAGCGCTCCCTAACTCATGCCTGGCTGTGACGTAAATGGTGTGCGGCCGTGAAGCCAGGACAGTAAACAAACATGTCGCCGGTAGTATGGGACTATTTCAAAGTTTCAGAGTTAGATAGTTCGCTTGCTATTTGTATTAACAAATGCAATGCAGAAGTTCCACGAGGAGGGAAAAAGGCAACGAGCTATAATACTTCCAACCTGATAAGTCACCTGAAACATCGCCATCGCTACGATGGTGTGTTAAAAGCGTAGGAAGACGCCTGCGCTGCTAAACTAGCGGCGAATCCAAAGCCAGCTGTAAAGGCACCGGGGCTTTTACCTATCGACGAGGCTTTTGAAAAAGGCAAGAAGTTTGCCAGAGACGTGATGGCAGTTCTTAATACATTAGAGATATAGCCATACTTTTGCTTGTGTTATTATAATGTACTTTTTTATAGTACTTTATAAAGTTAATGCAAAGTACTTTACCACAACTTCGAAGGTCATTCTTGGTTTAAAATATTTGGGAGTTTTCTTGAAGTGGATGGTGTAAGGTGATTTGACAATCTGAATATTTCTCAACTCTGCCTCCACCATTTCAGCACCTGTTAATAGATGCAGAAACAAATCAAATCAAAACAGATTAAAGATTATTTTGTTTATAATGTAATTATATCTTTCAATGTGGTCACTTTCAAGTGGATACATCATCAGGTTTATTATAGAGACTCAAGGTACATTTTTTAAAAGACGTACAACACTCAAATATAAATAAAAAAACGTATCCTATCTTTATATATTTATGTTTTCCAACTGTGTCCGTCTTATTTGGGAATAGTCTTAGTCTTTTTCTTACCGTTCTCCGTTAGCACACTGACAGCTACAAATATGGATTTCGTCACCAGTTCTTCAATGTTTCCGAAGGTCGTTGTGATGTGCTCTCTCCTCAGCGTGACAGCTCCAACACCTCTCTCAATCTAATGTAACATAGTTCAAAAAGGTGTAAAATGTAGTATAGTGTTACAGTGAACAGTTGATAGTACTTTACTGAACTTGTAAATTCTGGGTTTCAACGTAGAAAATGCAATTTCCTGCTGCTAAGGGTCTCTCAATTAAAACATCAAAATAATGTGTTTTGTCACCACCATTTTTGCCATTGTGGTACATTTTCAACACGCTGAATACATAATATCTGTGAATGCAACATATTAAGTGAATTAACTGCAGATCTTGGAGTTGGAGGAAAAATACTACACATTTTGTGAGTATTAGACTCTTACTGTAAAATACAGTAAGTGTAGAATGTGCTCACCTGCACTCTCTGAAGAGAACTGGGAAAGCTCCTCTTTTGACCATCTTGTATGACCCCAAACACAACGTAGGCCATCCCATTCACCTCTTGACCAAACAAATACCTAAATCAAAGAGACGGAATAGTATAAATCAAAACAGAGTAATTTTAAACAAAGTAAAAACAAATGGTTAAAGAAACTAAAAGAGCAAGAGCGTCAACCAAACCTCTAAACAGCAACCTGCATTCATTCCTACAATCAATCCACCAATCAAACAGTCTCTAAAGCCACAAAACAACAACTTTCTCTTACGTGGCTTTAATGTTGACTGTGAGTTCTTGGTCGTCCACGTAGAAGAAAGGGTTCGTAGGATTCAGTTTAACTTCAATACGGGGAAGCACTGAAAAATGATATTTATGGTTTTACCGATTAAATCCAAGGCAAGATATATAGCACCTTTCAACAAAAGGCAAGTCAAGTTCTTTACAAAAATGAAAAACATTAAGAGCATTAAGAAATAGTGTAGCGGAAAACAATTATAAAATGGCATTTAAAAACAGTCATTAAAATGCCAAGAGTTACAGTGCAGTGTTAGATGTAACTGTAATGGGAGAATCACCATATTCTTTGACCTCAAACTCTGCTTGAAAGCTCTGCTGTGGGTTGCTACGGAACTTCGTGACGATCTTCCACAGTCCGAGACTAAACATAGAAACACACAAACACACAATGTTTAAATACACATTTAGAGAAGTGACAACTGTTAACTGTGTTGGTTATTCTCGCGTCCAGGAAAGAGAAGCTTAAAAAGGAGACTAAATGGAGTCTCTGAGATTGTTTCAAAATTGGTACTTTAATTAATAAAAAGCGTGGTAAAGTCACAAACAGGATATTGTTCGACAGAAAAGCAGCTGTCTCTGGCTCTCGCTAGCAGAGAAAAGAGACCGAACCCCTTAGGTCTCGCTGTTTATATATCCTCTGCCGGCTCACCACGTTTCAATGTCCGTTTGTTATGCATATCGGAGGATACAGACATTGTACATTCAATATATATCTAAACACGCCTTTTCTCCTCCTTAACTCTTTCATGACTTTTTATTTAACACATTCTAAACGCTGTAATCAATACTTCAAAAATACAGGAAATACGTCACAGCAGTTTGGTTACCGGTCGTGCAACATCATATCATCTCGCTGCTAAATTCACCTCGATAGTAAATGGCAGAGGTGGGACCAAGTCATTGTTTTGCAAGTCCGAGTCAAGTCTCAAGTCTTTGCGCTCAAGTCCGAGTCAAGTCTCAAGTCATTGTTTTGCAAGTCCAAGTCAAGTCTCAAGTCAGGATGGGCCAGTTCAAGTCAAGTCAAGTCCTAAACTTTGACAAAACGAGTCATAAACAAGTCATTATGTGTTTTTCACCAAATGTAATGACATCGATCAACAGAATAATACTTAATAATCAAATTGCTCTTTATTAGTCACATTAATAATTTAATAATCCATTTTCTCTCTGCTGGTAAAGTAACGTGTTTTTTTCTAATTTAAGAGGGATCAGTAAGGTAAGGCTACCGTGACGGTTTGATTCAGAAGGAGTTTAATGGATAAGATCCCTGATGTTGAGGTAACCAGAATGTTTATTTCTACTGTGTACAACATGTTATAAGGGACCCACAATCTATCTTTATGCAAGGGATAATGTGCAGCGAGGCGGTCTCTATGGGGAAAAGAACACCTGAATCTAGATCCCTCTGCAGGTGGTACTTTAAGTATATTTTGATGCTAATACTTTTGTACTTTTACTTGTAACATTTTGAATGCAGGACTTTTTATTGTACAGGGTTCCTGCAGGTTTCGCCAACTCAAACACCTTTTTAAGACCACTTTGAATATAATTTAAGACCTATTTAACGGCAATAAAGTATGAAGGAAAATGTATATAAAGAAGAAATACGTCCCATAATCACTTACAAAGTAAATGTATTCATGTTCAACATAAGAACAGTGACTGAACACAACAGCGTAACAGTACAGAACTGTGTTAGACAAAAAGTGTGTGTATGTGTGTGCGTCTGTGTGTGCTTGAGTGTGTGTGTGTGTGTGTGTGTGTGTGTGTGTGTGTGTGTGTGTGTGTGTGTGTGTGTTAGGGCTGTGCAATTAATCATATTTTAATCGCAATTACGATTTTGGCCTGCCACAATTACGAAAACAACATAATCGTAAAAAACGATTATTTTGCTTTGCTAGGTTGTGACAGTGCACTACAACATATTTGATCTAATTAATTTTTTAGTAATGTATCATTTATTTAATTAATTTTTGTATTGGTTTTTCAGTTGAATTATACGTTCAGGGTAATCAACAGTTAAAAAGATACTGTTCAAATTATTATCTGTTTTTAAAGTTCAATAAATGGATGTTTTCAAAGTCAATGAATAATCATATTTAATAATCGTGATATTAATTATTGACCAACATAATCTTGATTATTGCCATAATCGAGCAGCCCTAGTGTGTGTGTGTGTGTGTGTGTGTGTGTGTGTGTGTGTGTAGGTGTGTGTGTGTGTGTGTGTGTGTGTGTGTGTGTGTGTGTGTGTGTGTGTGTGTGTGTGTGTGTGTGTGTGTGTGTGTGTGTGTGTGTGTGTGTGTGTGTGTGTGTGTGTGTGTGTGTCTGAGAGAGAGTGACAAGAGCTATATTCAGAGCTCTGCTGCCTTGGCTACACTATTTCACCGTTGCTGTTGTATGATTGGTGTTTAGCTACGGTATTTAGCGTCTACAGCACCTCCGCTTTTAGGGTTGACGTAGACCCAAACTTAGCCCGGAGGTCCCCCGGTGTTGTTGCGGGAGCTGCTGCATTAGCTGCTGCTGCACTAGCTAACGCTGCATTAGCTGCTGCTGCACTAGCTAACGCTGCACTAGCTAACGCTCCACTAGCAAAACAAACACTAATTTATTTTGCAAAAGGTGCAGCGGGCTTCAAACACGTTCCCTCCACTGGTTTCAACCAAGCACTAAATTAGATGTTTTCCAACCAAATACGGTTGAACTTACACTTCCCCATATTTATTTGTAAGTAGATTCGAAGATAGGCTACATGAGCTGAAGCTTGGTTGCTAGGTTACTAGCTGGGTGTTCTCCAACAAGGGGCCGGGGGAAACAAAGTTAGTGATTACTGGTTCCATGTTGATTTAATTCAATACAAATTGTTGGGGGGAACTGGAAGGCTATTACCGTACTGGTTACTTTGCAGCCCGGACATTTCCCCCAAAACACATTTAGACGCTATCGCAACATAGAAGTACCTTTCAAATCCGATAATTTTTAAGACCTTCTGAATCATATTTAAGACCTTTTTAAGGCCTTCAATTCTGATTATCAAATTTAAGACTTTTTAAGACTTGTTAAGACCCCGCGGGAACCCTGATTGTAACTTTTTTTAAATTGTCTGAACTTCTCCCACCTCTGACAATAAATCCTGAGTGTTTACCCTGCTCTGAAGGTTATTTTCATTTTACAAATCCTGCACTCAGCTTTGCTTTCTCCAATATCATTGAAAAGCAGCCAGATGCTGCTTCTTTTTTCGGTTTTCGCTCATTTCTTGACTTTTTCCGACGCGCTTGCATTTAAATCCGGCTCCCCGTCTCCCCGTCGCTCTGCACATGCTGTGCCCCCACCCTTCTTTCACATAATGGTATGATCCTAGTGTGTCCTCGCATATGATTGGCCGCATGGTGGCCCAGCTAAATAAAGACCCGCCCCTGCCTGCAAGGATTCTCAGCAAGAGTAGGAGCGGCTGAAGATTCTGCTTTCCCCGACGGGAGTCTGCTCTTCTAGCGGTAGCTCGCGATCGGCGTGTTGGAGACCTCTGAATTAAAGTAGCAAGTCACCTCAAGTCAGAAGGCTCAAGTCCAAGTCAAGTCCCGAGTCATTGGTGTTCAAGTCCAAGTCGAGTCGCAAGTCTTTTGTGATGTTGTCAAGTCGAGTCTCAAGTCATAAAATGTGTGACTCGAGTCTGACTCGAGTCCAAGTCATGTGACTCGAGTCTGACTCGAGTCCAAGTCATGTGACTCGAGTCCACACCTCTGGTAAATGGTATATTAGCCTCATGCTAACCAGAGATGACGGATTTTCAGGATAAAGCTTAACAACTGGTTGTGCACAAGAACTTCTGGTTTTTCAGTATAAAACAGCATTTAAACTGACGGTATGTTTAAGGTACATTATGCTATCAAAACATTGATTTTAATTTCTAACACAACCCTGCTAGACATTTTTGGTTCTAAAAACATTCTGAGAATGTTACATTCACTGTTCTAGGAATGTTTTCAGCGGGAAGTTTTCTTTTGGTTCCCAGAATGTTCTTCTGAAAGGTCGGATAACGTTTTCTAAAAACATTCTTAAAATATTTTGTGATGACATTCTTCAAATGTTTTTGATAACATTGTTCGAACATTATGCCCTACTATTCTTAAAACGTTTTCAGCGGGACGTTTTAATCAATTTTTAATCCAAAAATATTAAGAATGTTTTTAGAGAACGTTAATAATTCCTTACATTTATTATAGCGCTTTTCCAGATGCTCAAAGCGCTTTACAAATACACATTACACATATTTTTTATACATGCAATGGTCACTGTGGACAATACCCACAGGAGCAAGTTCAGGTGAAGTGTCTTGCCCAAGGACACACCGGCTTTACAGACGCAGCAGCGGCGGGTTTCACCCCTTGATCTGATTATCATTGCACAGCGCACTGCGCCACACCGTCCATCTTCACGCCTCAAAGTCATCGAGGCGCTTTTACAAGTACACATTGATATCATACATGTACTGTGGACATTACCCACAGGAGCAAATCCGGGTGAAGTGTCTTGCCTAAGGACACAACGGCCTGACGCAGTGGCGGCAGGAGCGGGTTTCGAACTAGAGTTCCCCAACGCCCCCCTTGATCTGATGATCAGATGCACAGACCACTGCGCCACCCGTCGAATCCTACCTTTCAGAAGAACATTCTGGGAACCAAACTAAAATGTCCCGCAGAAAACGTTTTAAGAACAGTAGAGCATAATGTTCTAACAATGTTATCAAAAACATCTTAAGAAGTTTATCACCAAACATTTCAAAAATGTTTTTAAAGAACGTTATCCTACCTTTCAGAACATTCTGGGAACCACACGGAAAATATGGTGACATCATATTTTTTTTAAAACATCCTTTTCAAACAAAAGCAACAAGTTTGTTTTTTAAAGCGCTCTAGAAATAAATCTGACGTTGACCATTATCGTGTTAATATTTGCCATCACAGGAACGTTTTATAAAAAAAGAATAACATCCTGAAAACATTTTCAGAATGTTGCTTGGAGAATGTTCTTCATTAGTTATCATGTAACATTGAGGGAACGTTTTATAAAGAACATCTTTAATGTGTTACCCCAACAACATCCAAAAAACATCCTCTGAATGTTGCAGTTAAAACGTTATGTCTTAGTTAACCTTAAACCTTATAGGAACATTATTTGAAATAATAAACATCCTAAAAAGGTTATTTGAACATCAGATTAAAACGTTTCTTTAAAACATTATTAGAATGAAAATGAAAAAAATGTGCTGCTGAAAATAATTATTAGGGCCCTACAGAGAGCAGTCACCACAGAAACACTTTAAAGGTCTAAAATGAAACGTGTTCAGGTTAGTACCATAGTAGGAAGTAAAAGTATTAGTATTGTGTATTTTTCCGCTAATTAGTTTTACTGTACAGTTCATAGGGAAAAAAAGTTGGCCTATTGAATCTGTCCATTTACAATTACAGTAACGTTTGGATTGTAATAGATAAAGAAATGAATAAATTAACTATTGTGAGATGAAAATATAATGACTACAAGAAGACTGTGCTATCAATCCTTAATCATTTCAGCCAGAAAGTGAATATGCTACTTTAGTACATTCAGATGTGAAATGTAAAAGTTTAAATTGCATGATCTCTATAGTAGATTTAGCCTTCAAAGCAAAGATGGCTCTTTTTGCAATCTAGTTTATCCTGTTAGTCTGTCTCATCATGTAGGCACATTATGTATAATTTGAAATCCAAACTTGTTGGTTTATCAGTATTTATATATAACAGAGACTGGGGAAAAAAACAACAAAACTATATTCGGCTGATTCTAATTCACACCTGGATAGGGACTATGGATATTAAGATAGCCTCTTTGAATATTCAAATCTCCTAGTTTGGGATCAATGAAGTACATCTTATTATCTTATCTTAACAGAACTACGCCTCTACATTGCGTACAGCGCCCATAAACTATGGCTCCCCCCCCAATCAGGTAAATTGAAGTGCCCCGGGGGACAGAGGGATTTTCTGAACTGACACTTGACCTGCCGTGACAAAAAAACAAACTACCTGACGGTAATTAGCCATCACCATGTCAAACTAACAAAGTTAAGTTTTAATTGTGATTATTACAGCTTACAGATCATGAAAATCACTAATCCTGTATTTCAAAATAGCACAATATTAGATAAGACCAATCAAAACAGGATTTATAATACAAATATTTTGACCTTTTGAAAAGTTTGTTCATTTATTTACTAAAATCTTGCCGAGGGCAGCAAATTGGTCAGGGCCGGCCTTGCAGAAAGTAAAACTCAACATCCACTTCTTCTGTTGACATAACAAATAGTCATACTCACAACCCTATATTTTCAGTTTATGTCGTTCTGATCCAGTGTTTTTCCCTTACATTCATCATCTTGGAAGTCTTTCTTACAATATATTTTGGTTAGTTATTTTTCAAACACTACATTTGCAACATGGAAATTCATTGTAGAGAACCCAACATAAACAAGATAAACTACTAACCTGACAATTTCATCGAGTTGGTATTTTCCAGAGTGGATCCCTGATTTCAAAGAGACTCGATCAAGTGGTAAAATGATGCCTTCAGGGGTCTAAAAAATAACAATATATAAAAAAACAGGTGAGCAGCAGCACGTGAACACATCAGCAGCAGCATTAGCGAGGCAGAGGCAGGCAGATCTGGCGGCTTAAATAGGGCGGCAGATGTAGGAGAATGTGTTTGGTTGGTTGTAAGAGGGACGAGGTGCGTCACGTGTTAATGTATCATTGGTGCTCGAGTTGACTGTCTGAACTAGCTCGCAGGCTTCGCCCTATTTAATGCATGTCTCCATGTGCTTGGTCATTGTCTCCATTGAGACTTTTTTCAATTTCAGCTACTCCTTAAATATATCTATCTACAATTTAAGGAAGTGGCTGTTTAATAAGCAAATCAACCACTAGAGCAGGGGTCTCCAACACGTTGATCTCAAGCTACCGGTAGCTCGCGAGCCCTCAATAGCTCGCCAAGCAAATCCAAAATGTAAAAAATACACAAAAAAAAAAGGGAAATCAAATTAAAATAATCTATGCTATACATGAACGAAACCTCAATCATAGCGAATTCTAGGCATGCCTGGCAAACTTATCTAGTATCCTATCCATGTGAACCTGCTGTATTTGGGGGTGGACCTCACATACACTAGGGGGGTCCGGGGGCATGCTCCCCCGGGACAATTTTGTTTTTAAATGTTGAAGTTAAATACATCAATCTGGTGCACTTTTAGCAGACTACACATTTTCTTGGATTTGTTAACACCATTGTCCTGAACAAATATTTGTAGAAAGGCAGAACAAGACCCAAAACAGCTCAGAAGGGTTAAAGGTAAGCATAATGTTAAAATGTGCTAAATATATACACTGCAAAAGCAAAAAACAAAACAAAAAAAAGAGGAGTAAAAGTAGCTCACGACTTGTTTTATTTTTTGAAAGTAGCTCTCATCCTAAAAAAGTTGGAGACCCCTGCACTAGAGGGAAGCAAGTGATAGGACAGGTGTTCCTAAAGTAACACATCCCAACAACTCACAAGGTTGGCTGTGTTTTTATTTTTATTTTGATCATTTCCGGGGAATTAAGAATTTGTAATACAAAGAGCCTTGGTATATGTGCTTATCAAAAATTGGAAAACAATACCACAATCTCAATGTCAATATCCTCTCGGTTGTTGTCACCCTTCTCCACGGGCTCCATACGGGGAGTAACAGCAAACATCCTGTAATGAACTGACATCGAAAAAGAGTGGACTTAAGACTTTACTTTTTGATAAAGCTTATAGTTGGGGCTGGCTAGGGTTAGGGTTAGGGTTAGACTTACTTTGGACCAGCCCCTAGTCATAGTGCTATAGGCTTATGGCGCGTTTCCACTGCAGCGTGGAGAGCTGTGACGTCAGCGGCCCGTTTTTGGTTGCGTTTCCACTTGGCCTAGTACCGGCTAGCGGGTCCTAATTCACAGTTTTTCTGGCCCCATAAAATCGTGGTTCTAGAGCCAGGAACAACCAGGCTGAGTCGGGCTGAGTATGCTAAACTAGAGAGAGAATCGCTGGCAAGGGGGCTACAACTACAACAAAATGAACATATTTGACCGTGATTTAATTGTAATACGTTTCAAAATGATGCCGAAGTAACAACATACTGATACCGGTTAGTAAAAACCATGAATTAATGCTTTGACAAGTCTGCAGACAGACAGTAGGCGAAAAACCTTTTAAAATGCGTGTTGTCTAATGGAGATCGGCTAAGCTAACGCAGTGTATGCTCCGACCGTCCACACTCACAACAACGGCCTATACAGACATAAATAAACCAGCGACTGTATTCGCCATGACACAGGCAGTCTGTGGTTTGTACTTGTTTAACTTGTATCTAGTTTTCTGAACAGATATGAGGAGCAGTGAGCTCTGAGGGCTAACAGCTAACGTGTTATTTTTCTGGGGTTCTCATTGAAGATGACGTCACGGCTCCGCCAACACTGCGTTACTATAGTTACTACCCCAGTTCCTAAACTGTAATAGAAACGCGCTATAAAGTGAGCCGGTCCTAACAAGGCCTAACGAGGCCTAGCCATACCGAGGGAGGCCGAGCGAGGCCGTGTAGTGGAAACGCGCCATTAGACTGCCTCTCTTTTCCACTGCCTCTCTGTCTTTATGCACTAATCTCCAATAAATAATAACTTGGCAACTCCACATTTTTCGCACTCTTTCGTCTTGCAAAAAGCCACATTCAATCATTGTATCTACACTATTGTGGTTGAACCTGTTGCAGTTGTCCTAATTGAAGTCCGCTGCTACTATGTTTTAAAGGTCCCCTATTATACTCTTTTCCAACAATACATTAGAGGTCTCAGCTGTGGTGAGCCGTGACTTTTATACCTAGGCCCTCTGACCCCAAACCCTTCGCTCGAAAAGTTATTATGTCACAGCGTATACTTCAGCGGAATATCAAAACAACGGCCCGGGGTGCAAAACGCATCAATGAAAGCGACCCTCTACCACACAAAACGACACCTGTAAATAACCCAATTTGTGTTCTTTGAAATTGAAAAGGATATTGCATTGTGTTTGTTACTTTCGTTGCAGTTGTATGTCTTAAGTGTAATTTGGCATGCTTTTATTTTGAAGGCGAGTTTACACTGTTGACAGGAATTTGCTGTTGCTATGGAAACAAGAAAAGCTTCACAGCCCATTTAGAGGGAAGATATGATTGGTCAATTGTAGCCTACTGTCATTTGACATTACTCTCTCGTTCAGTTACTGTAGCGGGCCCATTTACAGCAGGACCACCAACAGCTCCTATCTTCACAGTAACTCGGCTAAAGGAGCTTCTTTCATTTAACCCTTCACATTCAAACAGAAACTGAATAGGCAGATTCGAAGGATTTATTTATTTGGAAATGTTATTTTAAATACAATTAAATCAAGTTATTTTGGTAAAACTAATGAAAAATATAACTAAAAATATATATATTTTAAAATATTATTTTGTAGAACATCTTAGGCCCTCAGAGAGGGTCTAGAGGGCCTGACGGCTCGCCACTGGGTATATAAAACTTGTCTCTGAAGTGTTTGGCTCGAAATACCAAACAGATCATTGCAGCATCCCATAATCCCCTCTGTTTCAGCCCTGTTTCAAAAGTGCTGATTCTCTGTCTGTTACTTTAGATGAAAATAAGGAGCCCCTCCCCACGCCCCTCTGAGAGATATTTGGTTAAAAAGAACACAATGGTGCTCTAGGAGGAGATTCAGGTGATAAGGTGGGGGGGGTTACCTTGGTTGGTGATTGGCTAATGGTTACACAAGCATAAAAATACATTATGACGTCAAAAAGTGCCCTTAAAAAAAACGGTTTTTATGCTGGATCAGGACAAAAAGAGAGCAAATCTTTATTACTGAAACTTTCTGAAGGGGACACATATTTATATATAAAATACATATAAAAGTGGATTTTGCACAATAGGTGACCTTAAAGTCATATCGTTTTATTTTTTCACTGATTAATTGAGAGTTATTTTCCTAATCAGTCCCTGTTGGAACATTTGTAATTTGTGATATGGGGCTTTATGGATAAATATTGCTTGATTTATTGATTAATGAATACACTCACCTTTGCTGTTGGGGGTGTAGAGGGTCTTGTCAGTTTGGATGAAGTTATACCCAGACTGAAAGGAGACCAGGACAACCTTCTCAAGCAGTCGGTCAGGGAACTGAGCTTGCAGATACACATAATGCTTAATGCTGGGATCCTTACTGAAGACTCCAGTAGGGATCTGAATCATTATGAAGACATACAAACAGTGCATTAGGAGCAGGGTGTGTACATGATGTGCATTTTTTAATTAATAGATCATCTTGGAAAATGCAACCGAGTTATACCGCATCATTTACCATTATCTGTACCAGCGCCTGGAAGTTATCTCTACTGGTAAGCGTCACAGATGCAGTTGCCAGCCTTTGGTTTTTGGTTGGATGGTTCCACACATTGATGTCCACCCTTTTGTCTGCACCTGTGCAGTCCTGACACTCCACAAAAATATTTTCTGCTGTGCCTACACTCAACAAGTTGGGGGCAGACATCACCTCCCTGCAAAGCGGGGGCGGAAAAGAAGATATATATTAATGTGATGTCACCGAGCAGAAAGAACCACATGCTGTTTTGGATGTACTGAAAAAAAAGAGTTCAACAATATTACTTCAGTTCACACACAAAACAACCTTTTTTAAATGAATTACTCACCTTGAATTAATAATGCCTCCATGGTTTATTTCCATTCACAGGACGGGTTTGAAGTGTTTCAAATAGTAACGTTATTCATGTGTTTTGGAAATAGTGAGCATACAAATAAATATATGGGATACTGCAGTGGTTTCCGACCTTTTTCAGTCAGGCCCCCCTTGTGTAATTGCAAATATTTTCGAGCGACCCCCCTTATCCGGTTCCCACAGAGATTGGTAGAATTAATTGTATATAGTTGTAAAAACATTACATTTTCTCTGCTATTAATAACGAGACAAAAAGATCCAACTATAATTTTATATTTTATTATGGATTGAACATGAACGAAAGTGATTGTATTGGCAGATGATTCTGTGCCACTGTGAAATAATGAGGCCTAATTGAAACAATTACAAATACTGCTTATCGATCCGGTTCTTTAACAGTATTTTTATAGGTTATTTTTGTTCTTTTTTAGTGGACAAACTAAACAGAATTCACATTGATTCATTTGATGTATAGTGTGGATTATGGGCTGCTAGCACACATAACATACCTGCAGTGGTGATAGTAACTAAGTAGATTTACTCAAGTACTGTACTTATTTTGAGGTACTTAAGTATTTCCAAGTATTTTTGCTTCTTTGTAATTCTGCTCCTCTACGGTCCAGAGGTTCATGAGTTTTGTGTATGTGCATGGATTGCACACACAATGAGTAATCTATTGATTACATTGACAAAGATCCAGCACTGGATCAACACAATATTTTATCACATCTCTAGACCAGGGGTCGGCACCCCCTGGCACGTATGCCACAATTGGCACGCGGCACCATAACCAGTGGCACACTAGGAATAAGTGGAATCAGTGTGCAAAATATTTAAATTGTATTTTCGGATCCTGAACGAGACCGCCGCCAGAGCGCGTCTCCCCGTTACAGAAGGAAGCCATGCACGCAACGCAGCCGCGCTCTCTTTAACTCCAGGTGACTTTCTGCCGCTTTCCCGTGGTGCAGTGCTGATAGTTTCACCACGAAGGAAAGCACTGCTGCCGCGCCGGCACTTAACAAATTGCAGTACCCATAAGGAGCTGTACAAATGCCGCAATTTTTGCGTGGCTGTGTCTTTAGTTGAAAGCCCAGTGGCGATTTGCTCATCTCTCAACAAAATAATATGCTACAAAGGGGCGGACTGGCCATCTGTGGCATCTGGCATTATTATTATGCCGTTTGAACCAATTATTTAAATTTGTTTAAACGGCATCATGTAAGTTGCGCTGAAAGAAAGAGGTCCACACACTGCTTCCCGCCCTCGTGTTTACAGTTCACGAGCGTTGAGCTTATCACCCCCCCCCCCCCGTTGTCAATTCACGATCGTCGGCACGTTGATCAAAACATAAAAAATGTTGAATGCTACTTCATATCAAAAAGGTTGCCGACCCCTGCTCTAGACCCTTGCTCTGTGGCATTTTGCAAACTCTAAACAAAAAATGAGGCCAACTTATTGGCATCATTTGAAACACCACATGACCTTGCATTTTGTAACACAGAGTGGACTGTAGCTCCTCATTATGAAAGATACAAGTTAAGGTAAATCCAAAAGCTTTTTGAATAATATGAATGTAGCGACCACCAATAGTTGCTCCCATTACAGTTTAACCAATAACAATGTGTATACCAGGAAGATCACCAAAAACAAAACAAAATATATCGTTGTTTTCTGAGAAATTATTCCAGCAGAGCTGAAGTTAGTAAAGGTACGACATGTCTACTTACAATGGAGCTCCATCAGCACGAGAAGTCAGGAAGACGAAGGCCAGAGAGGCCAGCAGCCACAGCAGAGTCTTCCTCATCCTCCTACCTGATCCTGATCCGCTGTCAGTGAAGTGGTGCAGCATCCTCCTTTTATCCTCTCACTGCCCCACTGCCACCTCACCTCACGTAGTCTTTCTGTACACACGTACAAACACAACCACATACACACCATTTCCCAGCAGCAGTTGAGAAACTGATAAACATGAGGTCCACTTTGAGGAAAAAGATAAACAGTAGAAAATCAATAAGGGGTTAACATGTTTGACTAACTTTGGAGCATAAAGTTGAATGACCAGTTCAAAATTGCTACCAAATAACTATTCTGCATTTATGTTTCTTTCTAAATGTGACAACTTGTTCTTCTTTTCTTGTTTGGGAAATGTTACTAATGTTTAATTATTATACAGTACTGTAGCATTCAGTCTGCCAACAGTCAATGTTAGAGGAAAAAGAAAGAAAGCTGCCAGAGGGTTTGTCCATCATGTTGGAGGGAGAGGGTTTGTGCTTATTGGATTCAATCCAAAAGGACTTATACACATTTTAAATCACATTCATTAAAAGGGCACATTTTTCATTTGACATTTATCAGTTGGCCAGATTTACAGCCTATCAAAAATTCAAAGTTGGTTTCAATTGTTGTTTTTGACCTTTAAAAGTTAGACACCATTGTTTGGTCTCACATATCTTATGAGTTTACACCTAACAGGAAAGTAAGAAAAGTAAATGATTCTGTCTACAACTGCTATAGTAGAGTAAGCTTATCTCTCTACAATTTGACATTAAGTCTTCAGTCTTCCATTCATTCTTGATAAGCCCCATACTGTGATCAAAACTTCTGAAGCAATGGAGCCTGTCTCCATTGCATCACTCAGAGAGACACGAGGAGAGCAGGAACTTTGATGGCAAACACTGATGGTTTATTTGGAGCTTTGGCCGGAGAATTCACAAGACGTGCTGAGCCACGAGTTGACACAGCAGTTGCCAAACCAATTCTGAAGATCTCTACCCCAGACCCATGTATTTAGCTGGTTCTGAGAGAATAATCAACAACATTGTGCATAACAAGATAAAGCACTATAACACCTCTATCAGCTATGTTTGCACAAAATCATGATTAACCACCTGTCCACTACAGTGGACGTCATGCATCACTGGCTATTTTTCAACTACAATTCATACTGGTACTGCTGCTGTTGTTCCCAGGGCCGTCCCTCCCTACAGGCAGATCATGCAGACTGTGTGGGGCCTCACCTTGTGGAGGGGGCCACACCTAGCGGAGGGGGGCCTCATCTGAGGCGCACCTATGCGCTTATGTGGCGCAATTAGGGTGGCGCTGCACGGTTTCGCCGCTGCGAGGCTCCACTAGCACTCATCAAATAACTGTGCGTGGGGCCTCAAATTGGCCCCTGGCCCTGGTTATTCTTGAAAATACTTCATCTGCAATATCTTTTTGGGCCGTAAATCAATATACTTATGTTATTATTCAAAATGTACATCTCTTCAGTTCAAACCCTGAACGCATACTGTCCACCTGAGTGGACATGTAAAAATCTCTTTGAAAAAACTAGATTAAAAAAAAAAAGTTCAAATCTTGTTTTTCACGCCCCAAGAGCAATAATAACACTTGGTAAACAAATCCTGACTGAGGCTTTCATAATTCATGCATGAAAGGGATATATATTATTCTGAAATGGACCAATCCGCACAATGACTACTTTTACTTTTGGTACTTACAGTATATTGGAATTCTCATACTTTTGTACTTTTACTTGAGTAACATTTTGAATGCAGGACTTTTACTTTACATTTGTGTGCGTACGCACGTGTGTGTGTGTGTGTGTGTGTGTGTGTGTGTGTGGCCCAGAGGTCGCGTTAACCGAATATTTTCCGTCAATGACGGATTTTTTCTAACAATGACGGAAAAATCTGAAAGCAGTCCGTCATTTTGACAGATTAGAACACAACTCGTAACAGCGCCAAAATGTCCACCAGCGGCCCACATTATATTACCTCCTTAGTGGCCAGGTCGACTGAGGGCGATCTACTGTAGTCTGTAACTGTTATTTAGTCATTCACACCCCTGTCCAGTTGGTGGCGAGTGTGTGCATATTAAGTAGCTTTTGTCTAGTCTTGTTTTTGACCTCGTTGTTTAACCGGCTTTAGCAATCGCAAAATGTCACGGCAGCTGATCGTCCGAAGCTTTTTTAATAAGCCCAGTAGTTGTGATGGTGTGGATAAACCATAGACTGTATATATAAATGGACGTAGGGTCCGTGACGTCACCCATAGGATTACGGCCCGTCTACACTACAGGCGTCAAAAAATGCTTTCAACGCTTCGCCCATTCATTTGAATGGGGTGACGTAGGATATTTTCAAACTTCGCCGAACTGCATTGTGGGTAGCATGGCAAGGCGTTGCAAGCATCGCGAGCATCTATCGGCGTCAAAAGTTGAACAATGTTCAACTTTTGAGGCTCGATGCTTGCTCGAAGCTGGCGTCAGCCAATCAAATCCCGTTTATGCAAATCCCGCCAGTACAAGCGCTAGCCAATCAAACCGCGTGCAAGCTGGGAGAGCCAGACCGCAGTTCATTTCCTCATATTCCAAACGAGAAATTACGGTAGCAAATCACCCGGTTCTTTACGACCAGAACTATTTACCGGGATACAAACCGGAGGAGCGAGGCATGGAGGGAGGTGGCAGAGACAGTGGGTGAAACTGGTAGGTTTTCGCCTGTTTGGTGATTTTATATCCAGTTTACTTCGTTTTAACATTGCTATTGCTTTGTATGTCGGGGGCGGGAGATTCATGTGATTGGTTGTTGGTCGCGTTGCTGGCAAAAAATCGTCAAGCTTCAGACACGCCCAGCTTCAAGCTTTTTTTACTTCTGTAGTGTAGACGGGCCGTTATGCAGAGTTGCCGTGAAGCCCTTAGTAGGTGGAGTCGGCTACTAACGGCTCGACAGTGACGTCAGAGTCTAACTCCCGCCTTCTCCAAATAAGGGCAAAGAGGCGGAGCCGAGGTGGGACAGGGCGGGACCTGCTGCCAACGAGCGTGACGTTCCAGACCTAGCTCAGGCTAAGAAGCTAAGCTAACATGCTCTCCGTATTTAGCTAACAACCTATGCTAACAACACAGCTTGCGGTCACTGCTCCTCGTTCCCGGCATATTCTGAAGGTAAGATACCCTGTAACTTTACAAAACTTGTCCTTTTGATTTAAATGTTCTTGAACCTACACTATACAATTGATTTTTAAGTGCTTCACCGTTTTTCAAATATAAATGTCATTTGTAACTAGTAAACTAGAAGAGATATGGCCAGTGTTGTGTGAATTACATTTAATTAATGAAATATGACTGTATAAAAAGAAAGGTGCTTTTATATTGATTAAACCATTTTTATTTCTTTCAGCATTAAGAAAAAAGAAGATGGCAACCTCCTCCATGCCAAACTGCACAACCTGTAAGTTGATGGTCCTGGCTTACTTTACATGACTTCAGATGGTTGACATTACACACAAACATACTATACATATATGTATATATATATATATATATATATATATATATATACATGTGTGCACAATTATAGATAAACAGCACACAGTATATAAATATATATATATAAACTGTGTGCTGTTAATCTGTTTTTTGAGGTTTTGCTCTCTTGTTACTTTTAACCATACAGGTGTGATTTCATAGTTATTTTGTATGTTATTGTCAAAGGAACAAAATGAGCAACCCTTTATACTTACTTTGATATTCCTCATTATCTGAAGCATTTGTTACTCTCATTTATTTTCCTCCCAGTGACTGTATGGATAATCGAGACAGCTATGTCCGGCGTGGAGCCCAGAGAGCTACAGAGACCATCGGCAGCAACCTTGGCCTCGACCTGAGGGTGTGCTGGTTCTGTTGGGGTGGACTGCGCTGGAGAGGTGTCCTCCCTTTCTTTTCCTACTCCCTGCGAGGAAGAGCTGTCCCGGATGTCCTCCTCATCCACTGTGGCGGCAATGACTTGGGGGATGTGCCCACTGTTCAGTTGCTGAACCAGATGAAGGAGGACCTGCACCAGCTTCACCATCGGCACCCTGGCATGAAGATCATGCTCTCCCAGATCAACCAGAGGCGCCGGTGGAGGGCTGGTGCAAATCCTGTCAAAATTGACAAGGCCCGGAAGTTTGTTAACAGTGTTATGGCTACTTTTGTTCATAGCCTAAATGGTGTCATTGTTGACCACTCCAACATTAGACATGACAGTCCTGGGCTTTTTTTGCGAGATAGAGTTAATTTCACCCCTAGGGGAAATTATGTTTTTTTTAAGTCACTAGCCAATTGCCTGAAAGACCACCTCCAAAGACTGTGAACTGCTAAAAATGTCAGTATGACTGTTTTTGGATTTGGCCTTTAGAGTATGTATTCTAAGGCCCTTGCTAAGCCCAGACTGTCATGGCTAATGTTGAGTTAGATATTACATCTGTAGCCATAACACTGTTAACATGGCTGCTCTTCCTCTTCCCCACATCCCACCCCCCCCTCTTCCCCCAATGGACTCTGTAGCTCTCCAGGCCCATGCTGGGCATGGCTGTCTGTCAAACCTTTTATTTTGTATTTGTTATGATGTTTTTTGTTATTTTATTTGTTAAAATAATTCTGTATTTATGTAAATATTGAAAATAAATTACATTCATATTTTTACTTCTTTTGTCTACTGCTTACTGAAAATGCTAGCTATCACATCCAAATGGGACTATCAAATGAAAGGATAAGCTTACCATACAATACAGAAAACATTACACATTAAGGCTCAAATCTTTTCCCAAGCCGTAGCAGTCTGAAAAGAGTCCCAAGTTTAAAAACACAAAATCTTGACAATGAATACTATCCTGTCATTTATCAGTGACAATGCAAACAACAAGAAGGTCTCCCCTAATCCCATGTATTTTGGCATCAAATATGTCATAAGCATACCATAGAATGTAATTATGAAGTGCAATACCCACAATCCCTACAGGGTCGTAACATCACAGAAGATAATACCTTTTAGAGAGTTTAGAAATTGTTCAGTATGCAGATAAATATTTGTTTTACAATAGAAACATTTTTCTCCATAAATGTTCCCACATGTTGTGAGCATCAACTTTAA